GACAACAAATGTATACAATTAGTTAAGTCATGAACAAGTCTATGTATGATAATTATATGCTTTCGTCTATGTTGAGAGTTGATCAGGTGTTTGATCTATTTAATTTATAACCAAACCCAATTTTTTTTTAAAAAAAATGTTACTCCTGTATCATAGAGATTGTTTTTCTTTTCATTTATATTTGTTTCAAAATACTTGTCTGATCAAAATTTTAAATAATATATTTTCTAAAATATCCTTAATTGATGAAAAAAAATTACTTCTGTCTTTCATTTCTTGTTCTTCACTAACAAAAAAAAAAAATCAATATTTTTTATTCTTTTGTCTTATATATACAAATACTTTGAACATAAAATTTTCAAAGGAAAATTTTTTAGTACATGAAAAATATTCATTCTTCTAGGAATTTTAGTTCATGCCAAAATTTTGAGAGCAAAATATTTCTATTAGTATGCTATTTTTTATCATAATTATTTTAAACTTGATGGTTAACTAGCTTAAAGATTGTTTTTATTTACTACCTCATTTTTTGATAGATTTTCTCCATAAAGTAATATTTTTTTCATGTAATGCAAGATTAAAAATTTGATAATTAACAATTTTAAGAAAAGTATAAATAAAAAATAATGGCATGACATAATTAATAATTAATAATTTTTTAAAACTTTGTGAAAAGTACAAAAAAAAAAAGGGATATATCTGTACAGAAAGAGTTCTACTAATGTTGGAAGCTTAAATCACCTGGAAATTAATGAATTTATAAGAGGAAAAGCTAATGGATCAACCCTACACAAAAACAAGGTGTATGCTGATTATGATTCAGATATAACATTAATTAGCGGTGTTCTTGAAAAAGTGAGTATTACCCTTGTGACCGAAAAAGGACAGCTACAGCCAAAAAGATGATGATAAATGTTCTTGTCAGAAATGAATTTGTCCGAATAAATTGATGAATAGCTAGAAGTAGACAAGTTTTGCTGATTGTGTAGGACTGATCCTACCGTTTTTTTTAAAAATGGTAAATGACGATGATCCTCTTTGAAAAATATGTGTAAAATTGAAAACAAACACTAGCTATAGCAATTTGGCCTTGGATTTTTCTGCTTCTTGACGTTACCTATTCGTGCATGCAAGGTTAATTATAGCTTGGCTATTATTGAGTCTCTAAATATTCCTTCAAACTCACCTACTCGATTAATTAAATAAAGACTTCAAGGCTTCATTAATATTTTTTATCTCTTTCTCAACCGCCCAATGCATATTAATAATCCAGAATCTATCTTCTTTTAGAAATTCTTTTCATCTTTCCTCAACTACCCATTACAAAACTTTTTAATTAAGAGCAATTTGTTATTACAAAATTAAATTTCGAATCCAAAAACCAGCACTTAATAAAATATATTAAATTCCTTTACAATCATTTGATTAATTTCAATTGATGTACAATCTGATCCGACAATATATCACTCCTTTTGAATAAAAAAGTTGAACTAAATAGAAATTAGATTCAATTTGATTAAATTTCGAATCCAAAAACCAGCACTTCTTACAAGGTTACTTTTTAAATTTATTGAACTAAAGAATTAAAATTGTATTTCATTTTAAAAAAGCTTAAACATTATGATGGATGATATTTTTTTTAACTTTATACATCACTAATCTTTTGGAGTCTCTCAAGTTATTAGGATATTGGAATATTTGTTATAACTTTGGAGTTTCTTAAGACTCTAATTTCATATAGAAATTAGATAATTAAAATTAAATTATGTCTAAAAGATTTATATCTTACGGTAGATGAATTTTTTTTTAAGTTTATATCTTATTTATTTTTTAAAATCTGTTAAGTGATTTAGATTCTACAATTTTTATTAGATCATCGTGTTTTTTAAGTTTTAGATATTCTATTGAATTAGATAGTTAAAAGATTAGATTTCACTAAAAAAAAAAAACTTAGACATGCTGATACTGATATTTATTTATTTATTTATTTAACGTGTGATTGGTTTTCTACGACGTATTAAAACGTTTTGTATCTTAAAATTGAGGATCTGATGTCTCATACACCGCGTTGTTTGGAATATATGTAGGGAGATACCAACAAATTATACCCTACAACAAGACTCCACAGTCACATGTTTACAATACCAAATAGTCAGCCATGCAAAAGTCCCATCACCATGCACCTTCCTTTGGTTACGTACAATACTCCACATTAAAAACACAAAGGTGAAGAGGGTTAAAACCATTTACTGCTTCTGCCACAAGCTGTGAAAAAGGTAACCATAGAAGAGTCCAAGAGGCATGCCAGCAAGTTTCAGTTCTGCGTATGCATCTCTGCTAAAAATTATTCAACACTGCAGAGCCTAGAAATAGGAATTAGGATGGTGACTAAACATCGGTTGCCTATTGAATCTCCATATACATAATTGCATAGTCCTTCCATGCAATTTTTATTTATTTTTTATTTTTAAACATTGCATGAAAGAAGCGATGCCTTAATTTATATGGCATAAAATTGCATGAAAGGAATGTTTAAAAATAAATAAACAAATAAAAACATATCCTAAATATGATTTTTCACCATAGACAAAACTTAAACTATTTTTCTCCTTATAGAGACATATTTATATAATTTCATCCGAAAATTAAATTCAAGGATAATATCAATAAATTAAACAAGTTAAATCCAAATGAATTTGAGGGTTCAATTGTAAAATCAATTTTTAGAAATAAAACTGGCTTAATTTCCCAAATGGTACCAAAATGCATGTATGCATTTTCTTTATTAGGGTAATCTTCTTTTTTTTTTTTAATTTTTATTATTTGGTTTGATGTATAGAAATTAATATCTTTGTGGTTAAGTTTTAAGTTGATCATTAAATTCTGAAAAATTGGCTTGATAGTTAAAGAACTTTGCTATTTTTATTGACTTCTTAGATTCATATATTAAGACCGCTACTTCAAAGAATTAAATTCTTTTACCAGTCATAAGTCTTTAATATCATTAAAAAAAAATTATTTTGATTAATATAAAACTAATCCAAAAATGTCTTTATCGTTGAATATAAATAGTAAAATAAAATCAGTATATTTGTGAAAGAGAAATTTTTCACGACAAGATTGAAAGCAAAACTGGTTATTATCTCATAAATCAACGTCGTGGAGCTTCTACATCAAAATAATATCACTAAACGCGTTAATAATTTATAGCAATTTTGATGACTTTTTTTAATAATCTTTCTTTGTCTCTCTCTCTCTCTCTCTTGCAGGCCAAATCCATTAATAAAATCTCCCTTAATTAATTACCTTTTCCAATTTCTTTAGCCATAGGGGCACATTTCATGATCCCATCATCCTCTTGACAAAGACATTTTCTTGGACAAATTTAACCCTTACTTTCGAATGAATGTCGTTTAGGTACCCATGCACGTGAATGAGGAGAATTATTTGAATCATTGTTGGGTCCTTTTCGAGAAGGATATTGATCATTACCTGTTGCCCGCCCGTGACGGATGAGGCTACTTTGGTGATTTTACTGTTCTTGGCGGCTATTTTGTATAGTGGCATTTCTGTGGTTTTCAATGCATGGAGTGGCAGTTTTGGAACAAAATTACTTTTATAGAAATATCAGCACAAGCGGACAAGATTTCAAGCGGAGGCCGTAACGATGTCCAAATATAAATTTGTTAGCGGGACATACACATCTGTAATACCTAAATTGGCCCCAAGATTGATAGATATTAATTATGCTAACACTATATAATTCAGAAACTAAATAATCTCACATTATTTTTTGTTTCTTTTTTGTTTTCAAGTTTAGATATTATCTATCAGTTGATTTTCACATTTTTTTAATGGTTTTTACGTAGTAAAATTAAATTTGATTTTTAGACAAATGAATCATATTCGATTTAATATATTAATTAAGAATTATTTTTTTTTACAATCTTTTTCTCAATTCAAATCCAAAATAATGACATGAAATTTAGACTTATTAACCAGCATTTCCATATATATAAATAGTTTCTAGTTTCTGAACCATGGAATTTTAAATAAATAAATAAATAAAAATAGTAAGTGTGGTATTGAAAATTTGTAAGAAATCGTATTTTCTTCTCAAAATATTGACATCTCTTTGATGCAAAATTTTTAGCAATCTAAGTATGATTAATTGCTTTTTGTACCATTTTTAAACATTAGATTATTATATATATAAAAAAAACATTTAATCAATTCTACTTGGCTACTCATTCCTTTCATTTGCCACTTTATAAAAGCCTGGTATATATATCCATTTATGGATTTGTATGTTTTATTTCTAAAATTGTATGTTTAAAAATGACTAGTTATATGAATATATACAAAAAAAAAAAAAAAAGGATGAGTTTGGTTGAAACTCCCTTGGAATTATGATTCATAAAAAGTTAAAACCAAATTTACTAATAAATTAAGGAAAATTTTTTTTAAAGAATTCATATATATTTGTCCCATCAAATTCTCAGCCGTTGAGGAAGAAAAGAAAGAAAGAATAGTAGTTAGAAAAGAATAATATTTGAGTTGATGTATTTGACTTGATACACTATAAAAAAAATATTTCAAAATTAAAATCTTGAGTAAGGGCAATAAATTAATACCGAACAAAACCAAGGGCATAAGAAACAGTATACGAAAAAAAAAATATTAAGATATATTTAAAAGATGCCTCCAAAGAAGACCTGGTTCTTCTTATGCCTGATCACTCTTCTCTTATTTACCAGAAATGAAGGAGAATTTCCTGGTTTTTGTCTTCCTCTAAGTTACAAACAAATCCCCAACTTCCATGTTTTTGTTTTTGTTTTGTTTTAAGTACTAAACAACACATCTTCCACCAAAACAAGCAAATTGTAAGAGAGAAAGAAAACAAGAAAGTTTGGTGAGGAAAAGAGAAAGAAAGACAAAAAGGTTTAAATCTTCAAAAAAAATTCTACTGCTTTTTATCATATTTCTTTTTCCTCCCTTCAATGTCAAATACCACCACTGGTGATGGCACTGGCAGCTTCTCTTCGGGAGGTGGTGGAGATGAAGTTCACTTAAACTCCTTAGCTTCAAGTACTAATACTGCTACTAACAGCAATGGCTCTACTACTAACCAACAACAACACCAGCAACCTCCACTCAAGAAGAAAAGAAATCTGCCTGGAAATCCAGGTATATACACACGCGCACAAACTTCCTCTATGTATTAATTTCTTGAAGTACTGTGATGAGATTTTAACGAAAATATATGTGTTTTTGCTTTTGTTTCTTCATTTTGAATCTTATATAGTCTTTTACTCTACCAGTCTTGATGATCTGATGAGTTTGAAAGGATATAAGAGAATTCGTTGTTGGTTTTTCGTATGCTTTAAAAGTACTATGTATGGGCTTGTTTTTTAGCGTTCATGGTTACTTTTCTTTATCTTTTCGGATGATAACAAAAAGGAAAACTGAGTGGGTTATTACAGATTCAGTTCAATTCAAGAGATCCAAAAAAATGGCCTTTTCCCTGTTCTTTTTGGTGGGGGAAGATGGGTTTTTTTTTTTTTTTTTTTTTAATGGCTAAAAATTTGAGAATTATTGGTGTGTAAGTGGTTGATGGGGGGTTCAATTATTGGCTAGGATCTCAATCATTGCATTGAACTGTTGGTTAGCCTAGCTACCTCCTTTTTTCTGTCTTGTTTTTTTAACTGTTTCAGGCAAGGGGAAACATATATTCCTTCATGGAATATGTTTAGTTTTCTCACTCTTTCTCTCCCTTTCTTTCACTTGGTTTTGCTTCACTTATGTTTCTTGCAGTTTGTCATGTTTTATGATTGTCTTATTTATGACTGCAATGTGTCCAAGATTCAAGAATCTGACGAAAAAAAACACACAGCTTTATCACCATATATGCCAAGAACTTGCCAGCTACTTTTTTGTGTGCCCATTAGTAACGTGATATTGAGCAATAATTGTGCTTAAAATACATCCAATTTGTTGAAATTGACATTAACGTTTTATCTATAGTTACTCATTTCGGTGAGAATATTTTCATAAAAAAGAAAAGGAAATTGGGATATCTTAAGAAAAATTAATTTAACATTGGCCTAACAGCTCTCTTTTTTGCATGAAATATGTGGCAGACCCCAGTGCTGAAGTTGTTGCTCTATCACCACATACTCTTATGACTACAAATCGATTTGTATGTGAAATTTGCAACAAAGGATTCCAAAGGGACCAGAACCTTCAATTGCATCGGCGAGGCCATAATCTACCATGGAAGCTAAAGCAAAGATCAAGTACTGAAATCCGAAAAAGGGTTTACGTTTGTCCAGAACCTTCATGTGTTCATCACAATCCGGCTCGAGCATTGGGTGATCTTACAGGAATAAAGAAGCATTTTTGTCGAAAACACGGCGAAAAGAAATGGAAATGTGACAAATGCTCAAAGAAATATGCAGTGCAATCGGATTGGAAAGCTCACGTAAAGACTTGTGGCACCAAGGAATACAAATGCGATTGCGGAACCATCTTCTCCAGGTTTATAAACTTTGCATTAATCACTAATTCTTTACTTAATTTTTCTAGTTATTAATTAATTGCCAAAAAAATTGAATTAGCTAGAGACCCTCTTAAATGAGGATTTACTTTCTATTGATCGAAAATTGATTCAAAAATACCAAATAATTATAATATAAAAAAATATAAATACTATTCAAGAGAGTTGGTTTGAATAAAATAAGCTCTAGTTGCTTGAACAAATAGTTTAGAATTCGAATCTTTATGTATGTATAAAAAATTTTTATCAGTTATGCTTATTTTATATGCTCAATCGAAGAACAAACGATTAATTTAGGTTTTTAGACCTAGGATACTCTGAGAATTAAAAAATATATATATATGGGTAATTATCGAAGCATAAATGAGGATTACAACATTGGTTAATGGTATCTGGTTTGGCACATTGATTGGTTATCATATGGGTCCACATTGTTTTACACGTCGTTTTATTATATAGTATATGGATTCATTTGCTCGCTTGTTGATTAGTAGGAAATCAATGCCTTGACAACACTCCTCGCTTTGCTTGAAGTCTTTGTATGACTAAATGCAATTATGAAATCACTATTTAACCCAAAAGTCTTAATCATACCTTAAATTAAACTCTCGTTCGGCTTAATTATATATGCGGTTGTCATGATCATAGTAATATTTAATTAGACTAAATATTCAATTACATTAATTAGCATAGAGTCTCTCTCACAACAATAATATTATATGTAAAAATGTTTAGTTTCTTAATTAGTGTTTGATAGTGAGGCTTGACTTAATAGGGTCTAGTTGTTTTTACCATGCAGGCGGGACAGCTTCATTACTCATAGGGCTTTCTGTGATGCCCTAGCTGAAGAAAACAGCAAAGCAAATCAAGGATTAATGCCCAACATCGAACCAAACTTACAAGGCCAAATCTCCAACCTCATACCCTCCATGGGAATCAACAACAATCCAAATCAATCTCCCATGATGTCTAACTTCAACCATCTCGACACCAAAAACCCTTTGTCGTTACCTCAAGAACTCATGCCAATACCAACCAAACCACCCTCATCAGGAAGCATGTTTTCAAATGGCACCACAGGCCTTTTTGGCAATTCAAGAAGCATGTCATCATCCCTTCAGTTGAATGCGAATTCATCGGCGATCTTTGAAGGAAATGGGCTTCATGATTTAGCTGGCTCGGCATCAATGTCAGCAACGGCATTGTTGCAAAAAGCAGCCCAAATGGGTGCAACTGCAAGTGGTAATAATGTAAGCTCTCCCATGATGCAAAAGAGCTTTGTTACGAGCATGGCACCCCCAACATTTGGTACAATGCATACCCAAAATGACCAATCTGATGTGATAGGTGGTGATGATGGATATGCTAACCAGTTTTTCAACGCAAACGGTGGGGTTGATCAGAACTCAGTACTGAGTGACATGGGAATGTTTAGTGCAGTTTTGGATCAAAATAATGCAATATTGAAGACTATGGAGCATGCTAGGGGCAACAGTGACAACGTTTTTCACGGTGCAAATTCAAATCCCGGTTTAAGTAGTCCAACGAGTGGAGCTAATCCAAGTGGTTTATCAAGATTTAGTGGGGATGTGATGACTGTAGATTTCTTGGGGTTAGGAGGATCTAGACAAAGGAATCTTCATGAACAACATAATCATCAAGAAATGGAATTCACTAGAGGAATTAGTCATCCAAGAATGCAAGGGTTGAACCACTTTGAGCAACAAGCAGCAGCAGCAGCACTAGAGAAACCCATGTGGGATGTTTGAAAAAGAATATATTCTACACTACTCCTACAGGTTACATCAAGCTGCTAGCTAGTAGTTGTAATGATTTCTATCATCACTTCTTTAGTTCTCCTTTTTTTTAAAAAAAACTTTCTTGTCAAGTTATTGGTACCAGCAAGGGAAGAACCTCAAGTGTTTTGCTAAAGAGCAAGCAAGGTATTGAGGATTTTTGGCCCAACGTTAGCAACTTCAATATGAGTAGAGAAGATCAAGCACATTTTCTCTTTCTAAGACTTTTTCTTTCACTCTAAAGTATTTCCTATCCTGTGAATTGCGTAGCTGGTTGCTCACATTGATGTGTGACACAGCTAATCATTATAATTTATACGTTAAACATTATATTAACAAGGTATGGTAACAAAAATAGATATGAATTATTTTCACTCCACCTTAATATATTACAAGTTCTATTAATAGATTAAATTACCTCTTTTCCTTTTCCATATATATATATATATATATATATGGAGTATCTTATTTTGACTAAATGAGATTTACTTGAAAATATTACTCTCTAATTATTGAAATTCAAAATTAATTAAAATCAAGAACCAGAAATATAGAAAAATTGAAGTTTTCAAACCCTCTTATAATTAAATAAATGATTGAGCTATTATCGTTTTTTTTCCTAAAAAATAGTTTATTTGTGATTTGGAAAACACAAAAATTCTAGAACAAGAAACAAAATGTAGACCTGTATTTTTTTCTTTTTAAGAATTAAAATTTGGTTATAGGCAATTAAAAAAATAATAGTTTAATTACAAAAGGAAATATAATGTCAATATTTAATATCATTATTAAAAAAAATCTAATCAAGTGTATTTTGATCTATTTAAATAATAAAAATAGATTGTAGAGTGGGATTAACAAAATATTGAGCGAAAATAACACTCTTTGTTCTATATAAAAATAAAAAATAAAAAAGGTGCTTATTTTAGTCAAAATCCTTGAAGTTAAGGCATCAAATTCAAGCGAAAAGATGTGAACTATTGGACACGTCTCGTTAGAGACCCAAGATCCCTCGAAAAAGTCAGCAGAGCCAGAGCTAGACAGTGACAAATCCTGGCCCAGATCAACTTTTAGCCTTTCGAATTGAGTGAGCCCACAAAAAGGTTTTAACTTTCATGACCAGAATAGATGCTTTACGTATGAACCACTGCACCACCATCGGTCCATCCTCCTGCCATTTTTCACAAATTCAAGGCTGGACCGGGAAATTTGTATGGCTCTAAGCATTCCTTGTAAACAAAAAAATGGGAACCACCAAAAACTAGATAGCATTATCACCGTCAAAAGGCAAGCCTAGAATTGCACCACTTCCAATCAAATAATACTTGGTAAGTCCAAAAGGTAATGCGAACAACCTTAAAAGTCAACAAGCTAGGGTGCTACACAGCTGGAAAAAGCATAGACCATGGCGTTGCAGAATTATTTTCTAGCATGCAAAAATACCTCCATCCACAAGATTTACATGACTCAGTCATCTGGGGATAGGAAAGGGAGTTTCCGAGAGGTGCCTAGGCCTCCAGCCGAACAATTTGCCCCTTTGGCATCGGTGTTTCAGCGGCGGCTACTAGTTGGTGTTGGTTCAGCTGCTCTGGTGGCTGTTGGTGCAGATTTTGGTGGGATTACTAGTTTTCTTCTTGGGTTATCGCCGGAAACCGGTCGGAGTCTTAAGCTTGATGTGCTTTATCCAATTGGAGGGTATAACCGATGCATTGAGACGAATGAAGGATTTGGTTCGTGAGCCCTGTTATATGAATTTCTCACTGACCCTATTTTGTTTGACATGATTTCTTGTTTGAATATAAGATTGATGCGTTCTTCTAATACTATAACAGAATTTATATACCCAGCATCTTGGGTTGGAGATCAAAGACTACTTTATCGAGCAGCTGAGAAGCAAGAATATGAGAGATCACTTGATCCACCTCCACTGAATGATGGGAAATCTGGTGATCCACGGCGCAAGAACATGAACGAACCAGTTGTTGCATTTGGCCCCCCAGGTTCAAGCGGTGAACTCAACGTTAGTGTCATTGTCTCACCAGTTCCCCTTGATTTCTCGTGAGTTCTTTCAATCTAGAAAAGTGATGCTAAGATCCAAGCTTTCAAAATTAAGAATTGCATGCTATCCTTTGCAGTGAGTGATCAGTACAACCAGTATGTAAGGCGGGTTCATCTTTTAATTGTGTAGGATTGAAGCATTTGGAGGGCCAAAGGAGGTGGGAGAAGCTGTGGTTCGGAAAATCACAGGATCACGCCCTGACGTGAAAGGAACTTTGACAGAATCCAGTTTAAGACAGGATTCTGGGAGGAAGGTTAATTACTACGAGCTGGAATTCAGAGTTGAAAGCCCCACATTTCGGCGGCATAATGTGGCAGTTTGTTGTGCTCGTGGTGGTAGATTATACACCCTAAACGCACAAGCACCGGAATCGGCATGGCCAGATATGAAATCAGACTTCTATAGGATAGCAGATTCATTTAGTCTCATCTCTTGATGAAGAAAGAAAAGCAGAAGAGTAGGACCAGGCATTTCTCCTATGAAGTCTGTATTTTCCTGAAATCTCATTTAAGGCAGTTAGTCCTGGAGCATATTATTATACGGTTCAGCAGAGGAACAAGAATTCATACTTGTGCTATTGAGATCAAAAGTACATGAGCTATTATAAATTTCTGTTGCCACAAGTTGAAGTTTTTATTTGCTAACAACGGAATTCATCTGCAGGTTCAGATGGGGAAAAAAAGAGAGAGAGGGAACCCTAAGACCAAAGGAACTTGAATTTCAATATTATATATTGAAGAGAGAGAAACAGCTCGCAATCCAATATCCATCAAACAGAAATGACCTAAAACTAGTTAGATTTCACTTCAACTTTGCATATTACAACTACCATAATCTGTCAAACGATAAGGCATCGATCATATGGACTAAGATTACATATAAATACATTTATACATTTAAATTCTGTCAGGCAGCATGTCAGCCACTTAAAAAAATAATTTTTCTATATCTAAATTACAAGTGATGTACACTAATTTAAGCACAACTTATCTGTCTTTGCTTAGCTTTCTCCAAGTTCTCAGAAACTGCTGCAGTTAAATGAGGATCCTCGAATCCAATTTCAGCACCAAGTCTGCAAAAAGATTATATGAAACTTGATATTCCCAGTAAACAGAAAAAAAGGGATGGGAGAAGGCAGCCATTCTATAGATGTGCAAGAATCTCCAGAAAAATACAACAAGAATCACGGAAGATTGGCTAGGTCAGAGGCGAGGAATATTAGGGCGAACTTAAGCATACTCCACTGTCTTGTCTCAAACCTTACTCCTAATGTCAAACTCTCAATGGGATATGTGTGAAGCCACAGTTCCACAAGGCCAATCCTCAAATGGTAATTTCACTTTTTTTTCCCCCTCTTTCAAAAAAAATATGAAATTTCAAAACCTTGACAAAGAGTAAGCAGTAAAAAAATTTAAGCTGTTTTGCTTACTTCGGATCAAGCACCAATTTCTGGACTTCTTTAATGGCTGAACTAGCAGCATAAAGCGACATCTTACCCACCTATATCAAAACCCGATAGAACATTAAGAAATTCATTGACAGGAGAAATAAAGAATCAGTGACTGGACAACAAAAAAAAAAAAAGGACCAAGCGGAAAAGAAATAGCATAAGGATTTCAAGGAAAAAGAAGCACTGAATGCTTTTTAAGGAAAGTTTCCAAAACCTGACCTCCAAAACTTGAAGTTTTGCTTCATGATCGTTTGGAAGACAGCGAATTTCTTCTGCCAATCTAGCAGCCACCCCCAAACTTTCAGGAGATAAGAAATCAAGGCCCAACTGGACATTGGACTGCAAATTTGCAAGAAGAAAAACATAGAAATAACTATAATTCTGAATTAACCATGTCAACAATTTAGACAGATCTATATCGAAACTAATTCAAGAAGCTTTATAAAGAATCTAGACTAACAGAAGAAAAGAAAGAAAAAGTACTTCTGGAAGTATAATAGTCTTTAAATATATTTAGTTCATCATACTTTAAGTAGTTTTATAAAATGTTGAAAATCAGGCAGCACTTGACTTTAAAAATTAGGAAAGAAACAAAGAAAAGCAATGATACTACTGGCTGGTTGACGGATGTTGTTTTTCTAGCAAGTGCCTGTCCCCCAAATTACTAAAGCACCCTTTTTATCTCATTGTTCGATAATAAATATGTCCCTGACCTGAAGAGAGCCTAAAATATCCTTCGTACAGGAAAGAAGCAGCCCTATTGCAACAACATAAGTTGGAAACCACAATTAAAATCATCTCCTCAAGGATGAACCTTATTTCCTTTTTGAGTTTCAGTGGATAAGGATGAATGCTTTGTAACTTTGGACTTTGGAAACAGACCAATACTGGTTCCAAAGGAAAAAAAAAAGTGTCAATGAACCTTGATCTGATTAGGGCAAAAACCATTCATAGTATGGATAACAATTAACATCCAACCATTTGAAAACCAAATTCGGAAAAGGAAAACATATTTTCATCATTGTAATCTAGATGTTTTAACATTGTTTTACACTTAGAAGTTACTGAAACATATATTTATCCAACTTTGGAATCTAATTAATCACAACTTACCTGAAGATTCCTCACTTGGAAGGGGCATCCAGCTGGGACGAAGACAGCTTGCCCCAAACGTTGTTGAAATGACCATGGCTCAACTCCTGAGAGAGACATAATTTCCATCTTAAAATGAATACAAGGAAACAGCAACTGGTCACTGATGTAATAGAATTAACATAAAAAAGGAAATAAACAAATTAAGTGCACTCCCCACAATAGCGGTATTCCTGGAGTATATTGGGATACGCAAAATGGGATAAGATCAAATATAAACAGTCAGAGAGAACTAATTAATGACCCATAAGACTTTTCTACTCAGTGTGATACACAGTATTCACAATCACAGCATATGATTACACATGCTAATCAAGTAGGAAGGTCAGATAGCCCGCTAAGTTAACAATATAAACAGTAGAAAGGTCTATATTAACAGGGGGAAAAAAGTGTAGAAGCTCAGATGCCTCACTATTAACCAAAAAACCATAAACAAGCAGGAAGGTCAAATAACTTACTCCTAAATCTGCTCTATTTTAAATACTAAAGAAACACTAATGTTACTCACCAAATTCTTCTTTCAATCGTCTCTTATGAAACGAATTTAGGAAAACTGTTCCATCATAAAGGGGGCATGTGACCTGAGATCCGAATAATAAGATCAGCAGCACGCAACTTATAGAAGCTATTTGTCTGAACGAATATATAAGGTAGATTTCCAAAGCTAATTAGGTCAACTTACAAAATCGTCCACTATGTTGTCTGGCTTCCAAAGGTCCTTACAGCATGTTCGCAAATAATCAATTAGCTTAGGAACATCCTGCCGACGAAAGACATCCCAATTAACCCCTGGATGAATCTCTACAGGGATATCTTCACTCTCTTGCTTAAACTGCTGATCCTCCATTCCCTCTACCTCTTCCACTCTGGTGGTTTCCATTCTTTCAACCTCTTGAACACCTGCAGTTCTTTCGGCTCCTTGATCTTCAATTCTCTCAATCTCTTCAATACTAGTGGTATTATCAAACTCTTGATGCTCCGTTTTCTCATCCTTATCTGCAGCTGTCCTCACTTCATCTTGTATATCATGCCCATCAAGTGATATATCAGGCCACCTTCCCTCATCCAAGCTTTTTTCTGAGTCAAGTGACCCATTCTCCTGGCTACCTTTTGTCTTTGCTTCACATGTATGCACCAATAGATACACCTGCAAATGCCTCAGCAAGGACAATCCATATTAATTCACATCACCTTGGTGAAGTAAAATTACAGAGAATAAAACAAACAGCCACTAAATATTCCATGTGGGCTCTCTATACAGGACATGGCCACAGCAGCACTTGTGCAATGGAAGCCAACCAAATTTGTAAAATACTTGCTTCAACCCAATGTTAAAAATATGAAGAATTTATTTTTGAACCATGCAAATTGAATTTAGAACATCAATGAGATTAAAGAGACTTCAGTTCTAAAGAAACTCACATGTCCTATTTTAATTCAAAGCCTGAGTACTATGCTAAATTTCAATCTAGAAGCCAGATTTTAAATTCTCTAATATGAAATTCAAGGAGGAACTAGTAGTACCATGCAAGTAGAAAGTGTCACAATATGTATGCAACAACCAATAAAACTTACCATGTCACGTGTTTTGAAATGAAGATTGATTACAGAATCACCCACACCTAGTTCCTCATGGCTCCCATAAGATATACAAATCTTAGGTCCTACATCATTCTGGAGAGAGTAATGAGGCAATTTTGCAGCAACATTTAAAATACCCAGCCTTGAATGGATAAATTCAACAAAAGGCAGTTTACTGATAAATTCAGGTCTCTGGTATAATAAGAACTCTTCAGAAGCACTTGGGGAAGGCCAATCCTTCAACTTCAACATCTCTGGGGAACCATTTTTCCGGATTCGTCCCTCTGAATATCCTCTGATAAACTGATCAAGATCAATATCAACCTGCCAACACAGAAAAGCACATATCATGGAAATCAAAGAGACTAACACGACATCAAATTATTTACTGGCATTAAGAAGAAAGAAGAGACATACACCTGATATAAGCAAAAGTAAAGGAAAACACACCTCAGACCAGTGTAAGCAATCTATGGCCTTCACCATTCTGTTTACATCTTTTGTTTTCTCATCTGATGTTTCCCGGATCCCCCTCCATATAGCCATTGGATCCCAGCTTGATATGGATGAGCTGTCAAATACCTGCTTCACAATAACAGGTTCGCCCCTGACCCAGTGTTTTCTAAACTTGTTTATCCCATCAGTTTTTACATCTTCAGATAAAGGGCAATATAAGAAATTATCATCACTGTCCTCTCTGTGAGCATACTGGCAGAGAGTGGAATCATTCAACCCAGATTTCTGCAGAGTGCCAGAACCATAGGTATTACAGCCAGTGACCATTTCCTCCACATTTTTCACAAGTTTTGCTACCCAATTCATCTTGAAAATACGGCTTAGGTTCAATGATGAGTAATTACAACCACCATGCTCCTTCGGAGGGCATGGAATACTACCATCATTGTTTGCCTTCCAGCCTTGGTACTTATCTGATAAATTTAATCTTGCTCGGGATTCTCTTACTAGTTCTGATGGAGTCTCATTGTCTTGACTTCTCCCATCAATCAGATTTTCATCCACTTCAGTTTCAACACCATGTTCCAATGCTCCTCGAAGATCTTGACAGCAATGAAGGCACAGATCATACGAGCAATTTGCACAATGCCGATGATAATCAATAATGGGTATCCTACAAATATTGCTGCAAAAAGAAAAATAAATTACAATGAACAACAATACTTGAAACGAAGAAGTGTGTGTTGTGCCTCATCAAATTGCAAGGCTTTGAAAGACAAATAAATTCCTGACTTCATTTCATATACAAAGTAAAGAAGAACATGACAGAAATTGATTAAGCAATGCATAGGTTTTCTTAATATACCAGCACATCAGATCATCTGCATTCAATTTGGCCCGGACAAGATCTATATCAGTTCCTGGATAATTAATATCCCAGTTAGTCACAGAACAGGGAAAAGCTCATTTACAGAAAGTCTAAATTCACTAAAACATCAAAAGCATCTCACCACGCAGCCTTTGTTCAAGCTCTACTTCAAAGCATTGTTCACGATGGATCTGCTTAACTATAGGAAGCACTGAAGATAATAGGCAGTGGAGATATTGCAACTTATCTAGAACAGGTATTTCCCGTATTCTTACCTGCAACATAGGGGGAAAGAATTCCTCATTGAATAAGACAATCCCGCGACAATTCATTCAGGATACATAAGAAACTTAACAAAGTAATAAAACAAGGTCCCTTCAGTCCATGAGTGAAATACCTTTACCATATTATCTCCTCGTAAGCAACCCCTGCAATTGCAGATCCCACGACATGCAGGACAAACCTTCTCAATTTCTTCCAATGGAATGTCTGAGTACCTAGAAGTAAAGGATACATCATTGACTAAGCTTATAAGTTGGAAATATAAACACCCTTTCCAAACAGAGTTCAACACTCACCATTCGGAGATGCAGCTATCACAAAAACCTCTCTTGTCACATTTGAGACACCAAGTAACTCTACTTCTGTCATTCCTTCGGCACTGATGACAAGTTTGCCCGCCAATGCCTTCAGAAGCGTCTGTGCTTGCATCTGAGTATTCCTGAAAACCATATGTTCATCTCAATATCTACAGATTGAAGCAGACTACAAAGAAACCATACAAAATATAACTTAACAATATAGTAATAACAACAACATTTAAAACATGTTATTAAGTACTAGTCAATTTCACTCACCGTCATAGCACTGGCATCAAAGCTCCTTTGTGATCTACTCCTGGATGAACCCATTGTTGAAAGAGGTGGCGTCTTGTATGACCTCCAGTTCTCTTCAAACTCGAATTCTCTTTGGGAATCCTCTTTTACTTTTAGAGAATTTCGACCAGACAAGCTCCTTATAGGTGTTTCAGGAGAATAGCGAGACTGACTTTTTGTTACTTTGTCCTTGTACCTCTTTGATGGGACAGATATCGGCTGGTCCTCCTCAACTTTCAGATTCACGAGTGGTATATCAAAATCATCACTTTTACTCTCCAAGTAAATATCGCTTTCACCAATCGATTTCCTTTTGGCTTTCTTTAGACTGGCTCTTAACGCAGAATTAGCTGCCCGCTTCTTCGCCTGGATATAATGTTTCTCACAAACAGTTTTATCCGGCATAGACATGGCAGTGCATCTCCACTGTTTCCCATCTGACCTCTTGCAGCGCAAGTCATCAGGAATCCCACCACCATTCTCCTCACCATTGGCCGAGGATGATCGTGGGTGATCCATTATAGTTGTGTCGCGTCGAAATTCAACAGGAACAAGACACTCAACTCACAACTGTATGCTCATAACACCAATCTGAAATAGGATATTACAAATCAAACGATCCAGAACAAGTCAAGAAAACATAGCACTATAAAGATAACGATCATTCAAAACACACAGGTCGTAATGCTCCAAACACATGATATTCATACGCAATCCACATGTGAACGCCCCAACACAAGAGAACAGAGTATAATAATGGATGTACTAAAAAATTATAAAATCTTCCCATAAAAGGTATACCAAGATAGTCCCAAAAAATATAAAAAATAGAATGCTCAGTATCAAAATTTAACTTAATTCATCAAATAAATTGCAAGACACATCAAAATTAGTCAATAAATCGACAGCCCAGCAACCAAACTTTCAATCCAAACACAAAGAACACATTGAAAAAACACAGCAACAATAACAAGGCTTTCACGTGAGAAATTGTTAATGGAAGAGATGGGCGTAACTCAAGAAAAAAATCAAAAACCACAATTAAGTCAAGAAACAAAAGAGCCTAATTCGAGAATTGGGTATTATTTAACCAAAAAAATAAAAACAAGCAAAGAAATCACACATTGCAAGCAAACCCAGATCAGCAAAAACGATCAAGAGCCCATATCAAGAACAAAGGAAAGAAAGAGGGAGAGGGGGAGGAGGAGAGGAAAGGGTACCTGAGAGCGACTAGGGTTTTTGGTGATGAGATAAGAATGTAAATAAAGAAGGGAAAAGAAAGTCGTAAGTGATAGAAATACTGGTCTTGGTCTTCATGTTTTGTTTGCGGAATTATAGTACAAGTGTATAAGCTAAGGAAGAGTGTAGCAGATTTTAATGGACGGCCTATGTTTCTCAGTTTTTAATATTTTTGCTTTCATAGTCCAAACCAGACACAAGCACTACTACTGTTTTGCCTTGCTGGTTCCCTTTTTTTTTTTTTTCCTCTCTTTTTTCCTCTTCTGCTTCTGTTTTTAAGGTTCAGACAACTGTGTGTTTGACAAGTTTACCAGAACTGGAACTCACAAGCCCGTTAACTCTGTTATTGACTTTTTCTTTTTCTTTTTTTTTTAATGAACAAATACATTTTTTTATGATTACTTCTTGAAAAACTTTTAGAGGCTGAGTTATTGATTTTTCTTTTTTTTTTGGTTCAACCCTGATTTTGTTATAATTTTTTTTTAAAAAAAATATAGATTATTTTTAGTAAGATTGACTTGAACGAAAAGAATTCTAGTGAAAAGAATTCTAGTCATTAAATAAGAAGTCTCCAATTCAAATACTTATGTATATAGAAAACTCCTCGTATAATTATATTCGTTTTGTATTGATTGAACAATAAAAGATTAGCTTAGATTTTTTGGTCTGAAAAACCTTCAGAATCCAAATTATATATATAAAGGTCATTGATGGTTAGTTCTGAGTAAATTGAATTAGTCCTACTAGTTTTGAGAAATTAATTTATTAGTCCATTTTTCTTTTTCATTTTATTCTCTTTTATAATTTGTTTTGTTTTTGTTTTACAAAAAAAATAAAAAAGACTTAGATATTACGAAAAAAAAAGATATTTTTTAAATAAATTAATATTAAATTAAGTAGGGTCAAAACTGATCAAAAGATTAAATAATTAATTTTTATTTCTCAAAACTAAAGAGACTAATTTATAATTTACTCATATTTTTACAATGAAAAAAAAATTTATTCAACTATTTATTTTAAGTATATATGTCATGACTTGAAATCAAATCTCAAATTCTAAATTAAATTATATAGCAGCGTGGTAAGTGATATACATGTTATAATTTATTAGTTTAGCGAGATATAGTAAATGTATTTTTATATTCCAAATGAGTAATGCCATTTTACAAGAAAACGAAATAAAAATGAATTGCTAGAAAAGCAGAGAGCCATCTTGTTATGCAATTATTTTAGGAATTATTGATGAATATTGCAAACCTAACAGATTATAATTTTCTTATTATTTTTTCTTGTGAGATATTAATAATTAAATATGACGAAAAACAAGAGAGTACGTGTGTGTATACACACACGTGTCAAGTGAGGGCCAAAGCACAGATTAAAAATATGTCATATGGGCATAAGGCCTATAGTTATCGAACACGGTTGGACATCGCGGGCATTTACCCGTATAGGAGACAACAAAAAAGCAGGCCTAAACGTTGAAAGCGGTCCAATTACTGATCAAGGAATCGTTTGATTTTTGTCTGAAACCTCTCTTGAGAGAATTGATGACCATCTTGTTGAGCACAAATGTATGCATGGTGATTATATTCACATTGAAAAAAAAAAAGCAAAGGAAAAAGTGAAGTTTTACATACAACATGAACTCGTGGTACATTAGTTTAGATTTTTAGATTAAGTTAGTATTCATCTTTATGTATAAGTTTTCAAGTATAAAGTTAGAGTTTAAGTAACTCTCAAGTACAGATTTTTCTAATAAGTTATATCATAGTTAAAGATTCGATTGATATGAGTAGATGTGACAGATGTTTATGTAACCAATGGCATAATATTAATTAGGAAAAATATAAAGATACTGTGAATTAACTTTTATGGTTATTGTCTCTATGATAAAAAGTGAAAAAACTAATTAGATTATAGAATGAAGAGCGGATGACTCATAGAGTAGTAAAATGCAGCCTTTGAGACATGAGTAGATGGCAATTTCAAACTTTTGCATAAGCAGGCTCATATAAGAATGGTGAGTACAGTATTAAGTACTTGACGATGATTGTTGCACTTGAGATTGTTAAATACTTCCACTGTAGGAAAAAATTGTGATCAAATGGGCTTAACTCACATGCGATGGAGAGATTTGTTGAGTACACATGTGAATGCTAACCATCTCATGTTGAAAAAAAAAAAAAAAAAGTAAAGTGCTTCTATATAAGATGAATTTATAACCCTTGAGTTTATAGTTTTAGATTAATATGGTGTCTATTTTACAGGTAAACCCTTATGCATGCGTGACTAGATGATTATTTAATACATTTCAACTAAAAAGCTTAAAATTGATCTCAAATAAAAGCTTTTGAAACTTACACCGACACCACCTTCATTTTGTGTTTAGCTTTTAATTTAATCGAATAACGTGGGTGTGCTTAATTTTAATTTAACTATAAGAATATGAGTAATAAGATTCAAATTCAAGATCAATTCGTCGTTACAACTCTAATATCACATCAAAGATTTATCTCAACTCAAAACCTAAGCTATTAAGTGAGGGTTCAAAATGATTCTATATTAACTCTCTAACACAAATAACATCACAATCCATAGCACTAGAATTCTAGAATTTTCATATGAAAATCGTATTCCAAACATTTGACAACTCTGTTATAATAGCTTAATGTTAATCTAAAGATTGCACAAATTTAAAAGTTTGGTATGCTAACCAAAACTACAAATTAATTTCATGTCTTTAACGTGATTTTGTCACTCATTCCAACATTAGTTTGCATATTGTTGCTTGCTTAACAAAAAGAGAGAAAATATTTCAATCAGCACATCAATTGATAAAAAAATATTTATAATTATTAAATTAAGAAAAGAAAGAAGAAAGAGTAGTAAAACGAGACTACTTTTTTCTATCATATTTTGAGATGGATGAAAAAAAATAATGTATACAAACTGATGTTTTTATTCCGTAATTGTTGTTTTGACCACTTCAAGACAATATTGTTAGGATATAAAACAAATAAGTTTTCGATTCGCATTGATGAGAGTTATTAGTGAAATTCATTCTTCCATGATGATTTTAAAAAATTCATTTACTAAAAAAATTTAATTGTGAGATGGATATCTAATGTGCTAAAATAATGAATTTTATTAATAACTCTCATCAATGTGAAGATTGATATTTTTCAGTAAGTGAATTGTGTAAAAAAAATCACATAAAATTGGCATTGCTCTAAGTTTTTATTGCAGAAGGTAAAATCTGTTCTTCACTTCAACAACTATAATTACTAGCTGGCGATGAAAAAATTACAATTGATGTGTGATTTTGATACAAATACGAGTCTATCAAAGAACCAGTAGAAACCTTTCAAAGAAGTTCTTGCAAGTTGCAAAATCAATGCAATATTTTCATTTATAACTAGAGTTTTTTCATATTTAGATCTTGTACTTTTTGAATTTTTTTAATTAAAATCCTTTACTCTTTTTTTGTTTAATCAAGACCTGTTATTTTCGAAATTTATTGATTCATATCTTTTGTTACAATGTCACAAATCAACGATCGACATGTGGTCTAGAGTTATTACTTTATAATATTGTGTGTCGATTAATGATTAATGATGTTATTATAAAGGGTCCGAAATAATAAATTTTTTAAAATAGAGAGTTTTAATTGAATAAAAAAATTAAGAGTTTAAATAAATTTTTTTAAAAATATATGATTTAAATATGAGGAAAATCCATTTATTATCAAGGAGCAATTCAATTTTATCACACAAGCATTATTATTTATCCCTCTCTCTCCCAGAATAGTTTTTTCTTGTTAATCGTACAGGAAAAGCTCATCATCTCGTGCCCTTTTTATTTTAACTAGGTGGGGGCCTCTATCTCAGCCCACAAAACGACTATACGTTTAAGGATTCAAAGCGCGAAAAAAAAAAAAAAAGAAATTGTAACCTCTCTCTCTCTCTCTCTCTCTCCAAAAGGATCATTGACGAAATCAATAATTTTTTTTTTAAAAAGTCAATAGAAATGATGTTTTTTTTTTGTGCTAACTGACTTTTGTTTATAATTTTTTTTATGGAAACTTATAGTTTTTAGATTTTCTTAAAATTATAAAAAGATTTTTTTTTGTGCCAGTTGATTTATGTTTATAATTAGATTTTAGCTAAAAAAGAGCAAGTGATCATTTTTTTATCAAATAGAAAACACGAATCCTTGAAAAAGCAATTCGATTTTTAAAAGTTTTTATTTGGTTTTCAGTTAATCTGAACCTACAAAAATAAAAACATAAAAATTGAATTACTATCCTCTTTAAATTGTTTTTTTTTTTAATTTTTTAATATAATGTAAATAGATAAAAAAAAAACACTATCAATCTATCACTTATCAATACTAAGGTTAAGGTATTGTTTTTTTCAGTTCGTGGGCATTATTTTAAAACCTTAAAAAAATCACAAAAACAAAAAAACAATTATGTTTTCGGTTTAAACCGAATTGGAAAAAATTCGGTTCGGTTTTTTAGTCATTTACTTTGAGTTAAAAAAAAAACTGCAATAGATATATCACCTCTGTTCGCTTTAGTTTAAATCAAATAGTGTTCGCTTCTAAAACCAAGTCCAAGGCACCCAAGGGTTGGAGGAGTTGGGTTTGGGTCACCAGCATCAGAGCAAGGTTATGTTCGAGAAGGATAAAGATAGTGTTGTGTCCGATATTGGATCAAGAGCCGATTGGAAGAGTTTAGGGTCGGGACATGACTAAGCCTAGGATGTCTAGAATAGGCCCCGTGTCATGACCCTCGAAACCGGAGCTAGAATCAGGTTTGCATTTCCTAGAGGTTAGTTTAGAATTAGTGATGTACGATCCGTCAGGATATGGTTCTAATAACTTAACTATACAATTCCAACTAAGTACATTAAAAAAAAAAAAATTACCCAACAAAACAAGTTTTGATATTTAGAAAATAAATTTTTTTAAAAAATAAAGAAAACAGGAAGATATTAAACGGTTCTTAAAAAAACAGAAAAAAGAAGAGAAAAACAATCTGGATCCAATAAGCTAAAAAGAGAAAAGAATCCAAAACAAAGCCTTGATAAATAAATAAATATTATTGATCAATTCACTAGTTAAATTATTATTTTTATCATTTTTTAGATAATTACCGATATTTCATTCACTAACTACTGATAAGTATGATATAAAAAATAATGATAAAGAATATATTGGTAATTTTTTTAAAAATATAATAAAAATACCAATTTGTTTGGTGAATTAAAAATATCCATAAATAAAACCAAACAAGCTAAAAAATTATTACAAAAAGCCACCAAACGTGCCTATTACAATACGGGCACTCCCCTCCAAAACCAAACCCAAGCATTTCTTCTTCCCTTCCCTTCTCTTCTCTTTCCTTCAAATCTCACGCAAATCAATTCAAACCTTACAGCAAAGCAGAGACACACACACACACACAGAGATTATCCTACGAAATGGCGATGGCGAGGGCAAGCTCTGGCCTCGCATACCCTGAGCGATTCTATGCAGCGTCAGCATACGCTGGATTTGATGGATCTAACAATTCTACCAATACAGTCTCTTCTAAATTCCAAAACGACACCGCTTTGCTCCTCTACGCTTTGTACCAACAGGTTACCACTCCAATTCTCTATTTCTATTCCCGATCCAATGCCTTTCTAATTCAACCGTGACGTGGCACGATCTTAGTCACTCTGATTCGTGGCTGCATTGTTCTGGCGCGAATTTTAATTTTATTTTCTATTATTGTTATTAATTTTAGGTTTTGAAAGCTCAGTGCTTGTATTATAATTTGCTTGTTTATATTGTTTTTACGCGATTTATGAGATTTTTATTGCTAATTTTTTTGTTAGTTTTTTTTTTCTTGTGAAATGTTGTGCGTTTTGAGTGGGAAATTTTGGTGGATCTAGCGTGAATTTGAGATTATTGAGGGTGATTAAAATTGATGTATTTTTGCAATGTTAATTTTGCAATTAATTTTTTATACTAAGACTGTGATTGTCAACCGGATCCTGTCGATGCAAATATATTTGTGACTTTGTTTTGTTTGGAATGTGATTGCAGGCGACAGTTGGACCGTGTAATGTGCCGAAACCTAGTAGTTGGAAGGCCGTAGAACAAAGCAAATGGAAAAGGTTTGTCTGCTTATCGGCTTTTACCTTTGCTTTTGGATCTGTATTTCGTGTGTTTGTCTATGTATTTACTCCGGCCTAGATATGTCATTGGTGAAGTACGAGGTTTTGTGAACTTGGAGCAAATGATGTGAAGAAATTGGAAATGAAACTTGTTAGGATAAAACAACATGTAACTTGGAGAATCTGACTATTTTGGTGGAGGTGGAATTAACTGAGCATTTGTAAATTGTTGCACAACAAGTAGGGTGATATTGAATTCTTGAATTCCTTTCGGTTGGCTCTATGGATGTATCCACCTCCATGCAGTTTTGTTGAGGGGTAGGAGGCTAATATAGTATATATGATTGTAACACACATATGATCTGGAGAATAGGGTGGTAGTCCTGCTGTTTATACCTGTTAGTATTTGTATTTAGCTTGGTTTCTTTTTGTTTTTGCATTTCCAGTAATCAGCATCCAGAATCTCTGAAGCAATGCTATCAGAAAAATTTAGATAGTGCACATTTGTCATTTTTTAATCGGTTGCTAATTGCATATTGTATTTTCATTACCATAAATGGTTCTAAATGCATGGTGGAAGTGCTCTTCTAAAAATGTTGGTGTTTGTGCAGCTGGCAGGGGCTTGGAAATATGGCTTCTGCAGAAGCTATGCGTCTCTTTGTGAAAATTTTGGAGGTAATTGCAATGGGATTTTCAGGTTCATGCTTCATGGATGATTTTTAAGTTAAGTTAAGTTAATTATTATTATTATTTATTTATTTATTTTTGTTTCTCTTGGACAGGAAGATGATCCAAGTTGGTACTCTAGAGCATCTAACTCTATCTCAGAGTCTTTCACAGACACACAAGTGAATGTGAGTCCATTGAGAATTACACGGAGGAGTTTATTTTCATTTTTTCCATGCTGGATATTTTGTCTTTTAACAACGAATTACTTCTATATGTTTTGATGACATTGATTTTCTGTCAGTTAACATAAGAAAGAATTTCAAAGTATATATCTGCACTAATATCTTTGTTAACAGTCCCAATGACCTGTTGTTTAGTTAGATGTGTGCATAACCTTTGCTGCACAATGCGAATTATTTTCCATGGAATTCACATATGATAACAGTGTCATGTGACATATGTGACACCTTTTTAGCACTTTAGTGGTTTTGTAATTCAGGTTTATAATTCAGATTTACCATAATAAAAGTATGATAGGCAATTAATGTGTGCCCTTTGAACGCTGCATAAATGATTCTTTTAGGCAACAGAATTGAAGCAAGGATTAAGGGAGAAGTAAGTGTAATTTTGAACGAGAAAATTTCAGTTAGTGGAAGGAAAATGATGATGCTACAGACAACTACCCTTCTGAAGTAACATTTCAGCTGCTATCGTTAAGTACCACCACCTACCTCTATCCAAGCCATCCTGCTCCATATTCCATTTCTACTGCCTTGCTACCTCAATGTCATCGTGTGCCGCAGGCATCACCAACACCTCCACTCAACAACTTTCAAATTGCACAACTAATGCCACTTCTGCACTCACTTAAGTACAACACTTTTATCTGAACAGATCCAATGACAATGTACACTTATGTCTCATTTGTAGGCGGATGCTTGTTTATGCATTTCTTGCTTGTATGTGTATGTGTGAGATGGTTTCTAGTGAGTTGCATTTGTTTGATCTGGAAGCTTTCTTTTTCCTTAATTCTACTTAAAATCAAAATGGGAGAGGGAGAGAACTGAAGGAGACAATGCTTATCGTGGCTATGAATTTGATAATTGTGCCCTAGTTCTGCATTTTTTTTCATTAATTTCTCCTCCCCGAATTTTTGCATACTTAGCAAATATTGCTTGCTGTAGCATTACTCAAAAGACGAGCCTGCCATCGAGAATGGGAATTCTTTCCCACAGACAAAGACCATTTCTACTGAGAATGGGACTCATGTAGAAACACAGGATAAAGATGTTGTCTCAGAAGATGTTGGTACAGTTGCTGTGTATGATCAATGGATTGCACCTCCAATAACTGGCCAACCCCCAAAAGCCCGATATGAGGTACGACTGCCTTTTAAAATGTCAATCGCACTCTGTCCTTTTTTTTTTTGTTTATTTTTATATTCACTGCTTTCCCATCATTCTCTCTGAACGAAGTCTTTCTTATTTTTCAGCATGGAGCAGCAATTATTCAAGATAAGATGTATATATACGGGGAAATCACAATGGCCGCTATCTCAATGATCTTCATGTAAGCAAACCATAGATGGGAATATTATTTTGGTAGATTTAACTGAATTAAGTGCACAAGTATTTACTTGTTCGGTGTATATGGAATACTATTTTTTTCTGGAAAGCTATGTTCTATATAAAACTAAACCTGGAAGCTGGAAATATTCTAAATGTCAAATTCATGGCCCTATGTTTATAAACTCCTTTTTTATCACTTATATATTCTACTCTATTTGTCTTTTGCTTTTACATTTTACTGATAGCTGTTAAAAATTGCTGTCAGCTATGTCAATATAACTTTTTAAATATACTTTCTCAAAAATTCAGTGAACAATGCAGGTGCTGGATTTGAGAAGTTGGGCTTGGTCAAAGGTTATTTTTAAGGTTGAGAATGAGTCGCAGGAGGCACAGTCTCCAGCTAAGTTAACTCCTTGTGCTGGCCATTCCTTGGTTAGTATATAACCGAATTTCCTTTTATACACTTTTTGAAGCAATTTTCTTGAAAATCTATTTGGATGTATCTGCAGACAAGTGTGCAGTAGTATTGGATATCCTCACATATTGATGAATAGGACAATATGTACTGTTTCTGCAGATACCGTGGGAGAATAAGCTTCTATCAATTGCTGGACATACAAAGGATCCTTCTGAAACTATCCAGGGTACATAATATATTATCATTAACGTGGTTTAGTGATTTAAACTCACATTGCTTTAATATTTTATTCCTTTTCCTTTACAGTCAGGGTATTTGATCTTCAATCTTGTACTTGGTCAACCTTAAAGACTTATGGGAAAGCACCGGTATGTATTTATTTTTTCTCTCTTATCTACTGCATCTCCTACAAAACAAAAGTACTTAATCACTGCACTATCTAATGTTCAAAGCTGGAGTCTGCTGAGTTGTTGCACAAAGAAGAAATTTAAAACCAGACTCAAACTCTTTATTTTTGCCAAATTTGGGCATCATTTTTCTTCATGTTTTTTAGCTAAAATTGATCAAACATATTGATACTTGAAATGTAATTTTGGGTTGTACTTGTGAAACTGTAACTGTGAATCACAAAGGAATACTTATGCTCAACAGTGTTCCATCCTGACTCTTTAATGAGATTGATTACTTATATAATGTATAAACTGTTACATGTTTCATGCATTGCAGGTCTCACGTGGAGGTCAATCAGTTACCCGTGTCGGGACAAGCTTAGTGATTTTTGGTGGACAAGATGCAAAGAGATCTCTCTTGAATGATCTGCATATTCTTGACCTAGAAACCATGACCTGGGATGAAATTGATGCCATGTAAGATGAATTCTTGCAATTTTAAAAGCTTGCCTCTTTGTTAGTCTATTTAAAATCTTATTGGTCATCTGTCCGTGTTGAGGAATATGGAGGATTTAATAGCTGTTTGTTAATTCACAATCTATCAGTTTGCCATGAATTAGATCAATTTTGATGTTTGTTTCTTACCTCAGAAGATATCTAGCAATAAATATGAAATGTGTCGATTCTTTGCCTGAATGGTAGTGCTGGAATACTGTGATGATTCAAGATGTAATTCTCTCTATTAACACATATAGATATGCTGCTACTTTGAACCAATTATGATTTCTTGCTATTGACTATGACAATATCTTATGTTTCTGGCTCACATCCAATTTCTGAGATTTGAGGACGAGTGGATCTTTGGATTTCTGTCAAAAAATGGAAAAATGTGGTCCAGGATGAATTTATCTTATTATTTTACAGTGGGGTGCCTCCTTCGCCAAGATCTGATCATGCTGCTGCAGTACATGCCGAGCGTTACCTTCTTATTTTTGGTGGAGGCTCACACGCTACTTGTTTCAATGATCTGCATGTGCTTGATTTGCAAACTGTGAGATAACTAATCTCAATGTTTTTGTTCTTGCACAATAGTAGTGTTAGTAATATCTTCCATGTACATGGATTTTTAGATGGAATGGACAAGACCTACACAACAGGGGAGATACCAACTCCCCGGGCTGGACATGCAGGTGTAACAGTTGGGGAGAATTGGTTTATTGTTGGTGGAGGCGACAACAAGTCTGGTATATATTTGACAACTTGGAGCTTAGGCATTTAGCATTAGTGACAAGATCCTTTTATTTTTTCCATTAAACCTAATGAATTAGACTTGCAAACAGAAAGAAAAAGGGGATTTTTTTTTGCCTGGAAATTCCTTTTTGTTTATTTTTGTAAAAGATGACTCTAATAAGTAACCAACCTGTTCAAGTATTGGTTCCAGTAAGAATGAGTTTTTCTATTCAACTAGTTGAGTAGTTTTAATTGGAAGAAATTGGGCAGGAGTCTTGATTATATTTAAATTCTTCTCCAGCTTCGTGAACTTACCTCATATAGACCTTTCTGTCAACTATGTGTAGGGGTCTCTGAAACTGCTGTCTTGAACATGTCCACACTTGTCTGGTCTGTTGTAACTTCAGTTCAAGGCCGTGTTCCTCTTGCCAGTGAGGTATTTTATTTTACAGAATTAGGAACTGTATCAAGTTGCACATAATCTTATTGGAAGGTTGTACTATTCCTTGAGCTGTGTAAAACTTTTTGCAACCATCAAAATCTACGTGGAGTGCAAAAGTTTGACCATGCATCTTGAAAGTCTTAACTTTTTTACTCTGGATTTTTTATTCTGAATAGAGTTTTAATAAGGAAAAGCTTATATAAATTATCAGCAGTTCAGTTGTTCTGGGCAATCAAAGAATGTGTACCTGAGTCCTGTTGATGTTGTGGTTCTGCAATGTAATTAATCCAACTGGGATGGAATATGATAGATGCATCTAAACTGTTGAGTTAATTTGTGCCTTGTTAATTGACTCTGAAATTATCATGCTAGTATTATTGTTATTATTTGATGTCGTTTTCTTTCTCAATTATTCATAACTATCTTAGAATTGGTCTTTTATCATTTCCGTCATTCCTACAAAAAGGGTGACAAGTAGTAGACAGATAGGCTTGGCTTTCTTCAGCTGTCTGATTATTATTTTTTTGCAGGAATTATAGTAGAATCAGTCTGACTATCTTTTATTGCAGGGTTTGAGTTTAGTCTTGAGTGCCTACAATGGTGAAGATATTCTTGTATCTTTTGGAGGATATAACGGGCGTTACAGCAATGAAGTTAGTAGCAATTTGAACTTCCTTTCTTGTTGGTTTCCCCTCCCTTGCTCTTTTTCCCCTTTCTGATTTTGTTCTGTTGTCAGGTCAATGTTCTTAAACCGAGCCACAAATCTACATTGCAATCAAAAATAGCAGAGACCCCTGTGCCGGACAGTGTTTCTGCTATCCATAATGTTACGAACCCCATCAGAGATGTGGAGTCTGAGTTTGAAGTGGGGCAAGAAGGCAAAATCAGGGAAATTGTTATGGATAACGTTGACCTAGAGTCCAGGGTATGGCAAATTGCAAAATGGGTTCCTTTCCTTTGCTATATTGTCTTTTCGGGCACCCTTAATATTTTGAATTCCATGCAGAAATCTAGAGGTGAGGGAACTAGTGAGCATCTTCTAGCAACTTTAAAGGCTGAGAGAGAAGAACTGGATTTTTCACTTAGCAAGGAGAAGTTGCAGACTCTACAGTTGAACCAAGATTTAGCTGACGCTGAGGCTCGTAACACTGACCTTTACAAGGTAATCACTTGACATACAGGTTTAGTTCTCCTTTGAGAACTTCTGCAGATGTACCTTGTACAAGAGGTGCATGCCATTGCCATCTGAAATTTAGGCAATGGTTTTTCCACTTATCAAATTTTTTGTAGCTCATAAGATGTTCTTTCTTTCCATCAAGTTCCCTGTAATTTTGTATTCTTGGCATTGTAGGAGCTCCAATCTGTACGTGGTCAACTTGCTGCTGAGCAGTCAAGATGTTTCAAACTAGAGGTATTTCCTAGCTACTTTCTCTTCATATTCTTTGTTCCCATTCTTGGGCTTTGATTGGGGGCCATTATTTGGTGATGCTTGGAACTTCCATGAAGAACTGTCTTTGTCTGTTGACTTCTCATATTAGCATGCTGGCTACTTCAAAGTTTTTCTGTTAAAGCAGCCATAAATTATCACTAGTTCAATAACTCAACCCTGAAATGAAGATATGGATAATATGATCTTATGTCTACGTATTAGGGAAAAGAAACACTGTTTGGTTTGTGATGAAATTAAAGTAGAAAATTTCCAGAAAATATTAGACTTGTTGTTACAGTAAGTATGGTTTATCATGTTAATTGAAAGCCTATAGCTTCTTTACACTCACCTCTCCCCACCCCAAAAAGGAAAGAAGAGAGAAAGAATGAGAATCTCCATCCACCTTCTACTTATAGATGCAAAAATGAGCAAAATTTGCCCAAAATAGCACCAGTTCTTATTACTCCTTGAACGAACAGGTTGACGTTGCAGAACTACGACAAAAGCTTCAAACAATGGAGACTCTGCAAAAAGAGCTTGAACTACTGCAACGACAAAAGGCTGCCTCTGAACATGCCTTAAATGCTAATCATAGGCAGGGCTCAGGTGGTGTGTGGGGTTGGCTTGCTGGAACCCCTGGCGGTCAAAAGGGAGACGAGGCCTAAATTTCGTCGAAGCCTTGTTAAGTAGTGATTACTTATATTTGGTTATCGTTGATCCATTACCTATATTTTTGTTTCACTAGCCTGGTTCTTTTTGCGATGGGAATAAAGATATCAAGTTTTTGTTGGTCAGAATGGAAACCCCTTTTGGGTTTTTTAAGGAATACACATTGTAGTTTGTAGTTTCATATGGTCATCAGTTATCACTGCAAATATTTTTTTATATTTTCAAATTTTTACAGGGTTTGTATTGGAAGTAAAAATGTCACTGCTTGAGTGGTCAGTAAAGCATAGAATTCATTATTTGCCAACAATATTTGGCCAACATTCTTTTGTTATAGCGATGTTAAGTTTTTACAATTTTACTGCTATTATTTACAGAAATTGTTGCCTTTTCAGCATTTTCACTGTGCAAATTGGGAAAATAATAAATATCCTTAAGCTAAAATTGACATGTTAAAGTCGAGGGAGACAGCCTCTATTTCATTAAAGCTAGTTTCAGCAGAAATTTATTTTTTGTGAGGTGCTAAAACTTTGAACAGGGATTCACATGAATGAGATACCAAAATGAAATATACTATTTGGAAAGCTTTCTTGTATTTAGATATTATTCAAAACAAATTTTATATTATTAAATGTTAATACAAAATAGTTCTTTTGCCAACTCTTTTGGTCAGATTGATCAATTTAACTAATGTTTGATCAATTAAGTGGTAACATATGTTAAGGATGAAAATGTAATTTTCGTTTAAAATCATTTTTTAAATTTAAAATAATTGATAATTATCATAAAATGATAAAAATGAAGGAAAAAAAACTTCTAAAAGAACTTTTTTGAAATAATAAGATTTTTTTTTCAATTTTTAATAATTATTAATAAATAAAATTAAAAAAAATCTAAAGAAAATCTTAAAAAAATAATCATCAATTTTTTTATTAAAATAATTAATAATGATTTTTTTATCCTGAATAATAGTACAAAGTTTATTCCGAATAATATTTGAATAAAAGAGTTACAGCGAAGTTTTTAAAATATTACAAAAATCCAGAATGTATTTAACTCATTTTAATTTTCAGGAACTTTTTGCATACTAAAATTAAACAAAACATTCATATTTATCTAGGATCACTAAAAGCAACAAACTAGATTAAATAAAAGTAAAAACCTCAAGAACGATTGACTAAAAAAAAAAAAAAAAATCAACTTAGATTTCACATATTTCTCTTCTTTTCCATTTTCCTAAAAAAACCCACTTATTTATTTATCATCATTAAAAAAGGTTGGTGGGCCCTTGTCAGTTTCTTTAAAGAGCTCAATTTCTTTTAAGTCCTGAAATAATTCATGCTTTACGTCACCCATTCTGGATTTACTTGAAATAAAATCTTAAAAGTAATGGGCCCAAACAGTAATCGATTTGATTTCACAATTCACACATTCCTCTTCTTTTTTTATATTCTCCTCAAAATTCACTTTTGATTAAGAAAAAACTTTGTTAGACTCAATTTCTTTAAAATCTTTGAATCACAGCATAATTTCCATCAGACGGTCAGAATCCACTTCAAAGGGGGCCCCGCACTTTCTCTTGCAGTATTTCCTAACGCGGCACCATTCTACACATCCTTCACAACCGCTCTCTTTACACCCCACTCCACCGCATAAAAATCCCGACTACTAAAACCTCTCCTAATTTTCTCTCCATCCAAACACGCTCTAATCTCCTTCCCTACAAAAAATCTCACAATTTCTCGCACTTTCACAGTGACCATACAAACCCCTAAGCGCTCTCAATAGAAAGCTGTGCGTTTTTAGCCTTCAAGACGCCATCTTTCTAGGGTTTATGTTTTCAATTTCACCTCTTACAAATGATATCTGTTGAATTAGACACAAAAAAATCGAATGAAGAGGAAGAAGAAAAGGCTAGGGTTTCATCAATCGAGAGTGAACAACAAGAAGCTAACAATGCTAGGGTTTCTAAGATTGAAGAAGAGGAAGAACCAGCAGAAGAGGAAGAAGAAGAATCTAGGGTTTCTGAAGTGAGAAGTGAAAGCAGGTTTGATTTCGATGTTAGAAATGAAGAGCGAGAGCAAAATAAGTTAGCGGTAGGAGATTTATCTTTATGGAGTGAATTTGATGATTTTATTGCTAATGAGAAGAATGGAGCGATGGCTGGTACGTCTAGGGCATTGAGTTATGGTTTTGAAGTTGGTGATTTGGTTTGGGGGAAAGTGAAATCGCATCCATGGTGGCCGGGGCATATATTTAACGAGGCGTTTGCTTCGTCCTCGGTAAGGCGGACTAGGAGGGAAGGCCATGTGTTGGTTGCGTTTTTCGGGGATAGTAGTTATGGTTGGTTTGATCCGGCAGAGCTTATTCCATTTGATGCGAATTTCGCCGAGAAATCACAGCAAATGAATTCAAGGACTTTCATTAAGGCGGTAGAGGAGGCCACGGATGAGGCGAGTAGGAGGAGTGCACTTGGCTTGGCTTGTAAGTGTAGGAATAAGTTAAATTTTAGGCCCGCTAATGGGCCAGGGTATTTTGTAGTGGATGTGCCGGATTATGAGCCTGGAGGAGTTTATTCGGTGAATCAGATTATGAAGGCACAAGATGGGTTTAAGCCAAGGGAGACTCTTGCTTTTGTGAAGCAGCTGGCTGTGGGGCTTCATGGGTGTGATCAGGATAGTTTTGAGTTCAATAAAAATAAGGCCAGGGTTTTTGCTTTTCGCAGGGCTGTGTTTGAAGAGTTTGATGAGACCTATGCACAGGCATTTGGAGTTCATAGCTCGCGGTCTTCTAATGATACTGCCAAGGCTTCAAATCAGCTCGCTAAAGAGCCATCTCGAGGTATTGTTTTATTCGTCTTTCCCTGAATTTTTCTTCTTCTTCTTTTTTTTTTTTTTTTTTTTTTGAGCTTGTAGTCTGCAATGAGTCGTTTGTTTAGGTCTTGAACATCTGGTGTGATTTGCGCATTGCAGATATTGTCTGGATGTTCATGCTTCTTTCTTGTGCGCCTTTTTGTTTCCGTCAGATTCTTTTTCACACTGCTTCTTGAATAATGGAAAATTTTTTGAATTATTTCACTATCCTTTTGCTTGGGCACAGAAATGTTTTCACTTCTCTAATGCAACACAGGTATTTCCCTTAAAATTTATCATGAAGGTATAAGAGTTAAGGTCTTACGCCTTTTTATAATATAAGTGTTGATTATCAATGTTATTAAATGCCTAAATCCTTAAGTCATGAGAATTAGTTTCTTTATGCCTGCAACATGCACTTGGAGGGATAGATGAAGGTTAAGATAGTCGATGTATCACAGAAAATTGGAGGATGCTTGCACAACTTTATTGAAACTCTTAATATGGCAAACATGTTTGTTCATTTTTTTTATGTATTTTTTTTAATATGCTTGTATTTCTGAGTAGTGCCTCAAGCATGTTTGTTCGCATCTTTTTATTTGATTCTAGTTTTTTCCCAAAATAGAGGTTGTGAGGTTTAAGATCTTTATATCTTGTCTGCCTTTGAGAACTAATTGGCCCCTTTTTAAGTATTTGCCTGCTATTGAATTTGAAATATGATTCTCGGGAACAATTTCCAATTTGCATGTTTAATAAAATACAATTGAACTGTCCAATTTCATGTCAAATATAGGTACTATCAAGAGTTCTAGCCTGAATTTTTAAGTTAAAAATTAGCATTCTGTTTTAATTGAGAGTGCAATGTGTAAGATTAGTGGTACATTTTTTTTTTAATTGCACTAGGTAATTCTAGATATTGTGATTTCAGAGATTTTGTAAAACATGATGAGTGTTTTCATCCAAAAAATTCTTAGCACCTCTAATCACTTGCGTATATGGCATAGGATTTGGTTTTTTTTATTACCACAGATCATAGGCGAGGGCCTGCTGCTCTTTCTTCCTTTAATAGTTTGTGTTGCATAAATTTGCCTGGATAGACCTTTCATTTTTTCTCCTCTCTATTGGCTTTTTTTTTTATTCTATGTTTGAACACTGTCTTCTTTCTATTCTCATTGGGTTGTTGCTCCTCCAGCTCCCTTGAGTGGTCCATTGGTGATAGCTGAAACTCTGGGTGGCGAGAAGAGCTCAAAAAGCCTTTAAAAGTCAAGGACCATTTGAAAAAAGATAAATATCTCCTTAAGCGAAGAGATGAGCCAAGTGACCCCAGAAATTTTGAAATTGGCCGAAGGCAAGCATCCCCAGTAGCTTATGTGGAGGGTGGTTCATCAGCAGTGGAAGCTGGTGATTATGTGTTGCAGAAAAGGGCACCAACACCTCATAATTCAGCAAAACATGAACAATCTGCATCTATAACCAAAGAAGATGTGGATTCTAGTGAAGCCGGAGCTGGCAAAGCAGAATTAGTCTTAGATCAGGCTCCAGGAGATGCAAAGCTGTTTCTTGAAAAGAAGGGTGCTATGCAAGAAATAAAAGGTGAACAAGGATCAGATGTGGTTGTGAATCCGACAGGCTGGTCTGATTTACCTGGGAAGGAGCAGCTTAAGGGTGTGTCAGATTGCAAGTCACCATCATTTAAGCAACAAGAGGCTGTAGTGGACCTTAAATATGAAGAGAGTGCAAAAGCATCCAGATCAAATGAAGTTTCTCAGCAAACTGAACCGAGCTTTTCTGCAAGAGCAGAGGGAGACTGTGGATTGATTAAACTTCAGGATGGTGGCCCAGGTTCACATAGTTCACCACTTAATGCCACACAATCTGTTGGAACAAGTACTGGTAGTACGGTGAAGAAGGTCAAAGTTGGTAAACGGCCTGTGGGGGACCTCAGATCTGGGAAGTCTATTATGGGGGAGAAAAAGAAGAAAGAGTTGGGAGCAGAAACTAATCCTGATCGTCCGAAGAAGCGGTTGACCACTGGAAAATGTAGGGTAGTGGGAATCTCATTAGGAAAATCCACCCAAATCAGTTCGTCTCCTGGAGAGGATTCTCAGCTAGATAGTCAGAAGAAAGATGCTGGTGCCAGTAATACCTTGCCCAACAGCATTGAGTTTGAGCTAACCCAGCTACTGAATGATTTGCATGCTCTAGCTCTCGATCCCTTTCATGGTGCAGAAAGAAGTAGTCCTTCAGTTACAATGCATTTCTTTTTGCGCTTCCGGTCCCTTGTTTACCAGAAAAGCTTAGCTTTGTCACCGACTTCTGAGACTGAGCTTGTTGAAGTTCGTGGCACTAAATCTTCTTCCGGTATTGGGGCTTCTGACTATTCTGCCAGTGAGAATCCCAGAGGTTTGACATCTTCAAAACCAGCAAAATCCCTTGTCAGACCTGATGATTCAACAAAAGCTGGACGGAAGCGTTTGCCGTCTGATCGCCAGGAAGAAATTGCAGCAAAAAGGTTGAAAAAAATTACTCAGTTGAAGTCATTGGCTGCAGAGAAGAAGGCGGCTCAGAGAACTTTGGATACCCAGCGAGCAGAAGGGAAAGAACCAGTGGCTACACAGCGAGCAGAAGGAAAAGAACCCATGGCTAACCAGCGAGCAGAAGGAAAACAGCCAGTGGGTCAAGCTCCTCGGAAGTTGGTCAAACCGGATTCTTCTAAAAAGATGGAGGCTCCAGTCAGAGCTATTGAGCCCACCATGCTGGTGATGAAGTTCCCTCCTGAGACATCTCTTCCATCTGCCGCACAGCTGAAGGCAAGGTTTGCTCGATTTGGGTCAATAGATCAGTCTGCAATCCGTGTCTTTTGGAAGTCATCACAATGCCGTGTTGTGTTCCGGCGAAAGCTTGATGCACAGGCAGCTCTTAAATATGCTATTGGTAATAAATCCTTGTTTGGCAATGTGAATGTAAGATACAACCTTCGGGAAGTAGGTGTTCCTGCATCCGAGGCACCCGAATCTGACAAAATCCGAGGAGATGACACTTCTGTTGATGCCACACAGGCTAAGGATCCTCTAGTTGAACGACAAGCTGCAGCATTTGCACAGCAGCTCTCGTCACAGTCAGCAGTCCAGCTGAAATCTATATTGAAGAAATCAAATGGCGATGAAGCAGCACCAGTAACTGGTGGTAACGGTGGTAGAGGAACTCGTGTAAAATTCATGTTGGGTGGGGAAGAAAGTAATAGGGGAGAGCAAATGATGATTGGTAATAGAAACAACAACTTCAACAACAATGCTAGTTTTGCTGATGGTGGTGCACCTACTACTACTACTTCTGTTGCTATGGATTTTAGTAGTAAGAACTTTCAGAAGGTTATTCCTCCATCTCCATTGCCTATTCTTCCCTTCCCTACTCAATTTGCAAAAGCCCCACTTAATAATTCGCATCATCATACTGAAGTAGCACCCAGAAATTTGCACAATTTCAATACTCCTCCAAGTGCTGGACCTAGTACACCAAGCATAGATATTTCGCAGCAGATGCTAAGCCTTTTGACAACTTGCAACGACGTTGTCAATTCTGTGTCAGGCTTGTTAGGCTATGTGCCTTACCACCCTCTTTGACAGCCAATATGGGCCAATTCTCAAAAAACTCTCATCAAAATATTGGACTGCATGAAAAAAAAGAAAAAAGAAAAGCCAGCCAACTCCTCCAAAGCCGCTTGATCGCAGTTGGGTGTGCTCTGTGCAGCATTTGGGACGCCGTCGACATGGTTGCACAAATTTTCCTGTTGAGAAGGCAGCAACTGAAACAAACACACAAGGAAATGGCGGCTTTCTTGCCGGGCGTCAATTGAGCAAATCCATCTTGATTTAAGTTTGGTGTAAAATTATGTTAGTCTGAGAGTGGATTACTCCAAAAATGGACTCATTCGATAGTGACAAGCATTTGCCCTTTTGCCTTCTCTTTTTGCCTTTATTATCTTTCACGTTACTTGTACCTGCTCACGACATTTTCCACTTCATCTTGTGCTTGGTCTGTATGTGGTCAGAAAATAACCCCTCATACCACATATTTTGCTAGTTACCTGTTAGATTAGCAGAACTCATGAATGAAAGACCAACTATCTATGGCAACAAGTTTATGCATAGCATGCAATGTAGTTGGTCCATCCATCAAGGGCTATGTATGGTCCCCTAAAAATCGGTTTAATGGCAAAAACTGTTGGGATGGCATTTACTATCCATTTGGGTTATTTAACCCATTTAAATTTCAAATCATTATTTTTTGAATAAATATTATTATTTTTTTTGCTATCTTCAACGGTTAAAATATTGATCAGATGTTGTTCGAACATTGTATTTTTTTTTGCAAAAGAAAATTAATTTCAAAAAAAAAATGCATAATAGTTAATACAAATGCCGTGTAGCCTTAAATATCATTATATGTTGTTTTTTAGGTATTATGAAATCAACTAAATTAACTGAACAAAACAAAAAGAAAAAAGAGAAATTATAATTGATCAAATCAAGAGTTTGTAGTAAAAGAAAAAAAAACGAGAGAAAAGAAGACATTAATCGGGTTTCAAATGTTATGATAGAAAAGCATAAGTTTTAGAAGTAATTTCAATAACATTTTAATAGCTTAGCCTCTCTTTTTAATCATTTCAATTAATTCACTTAATTTATAGTGCTTTAGGATGATATATTGTTAAATATTAGTACCATATGTCATGTATTAACTATTATTATATTTTTTTTAATGATTTTTCATAAAAAAAAATATTCAAGCAATGTCATTTAATCATTCAAGTTAACAATCAACGTTTTGACTATAAAAAATAAGAGGAAAAAAGATAATGTTTTTAAAAAATAATAGTTTAGGATCCAAATAATTTAAATCGGTAATAAAGGCTTTAAATTTCCATAATCTCTAATGGTTTAGAATTAGCTAGTCCTTTTCGTTTTTAATACAATCTATTTATAATTTAATCATTTTTTATTATTTTTTTCTTTTTATATATATATATATATATATATATATATATATATATAAGAGAGAGAGAGAGAGAGAGAGAAAAAGAGAGAGGGAGGTGCTTGGTTGCAAGCCAACTAGGACAGGCGCCTGGTTGGCTTGTGCAACCAAGTTGCACATAGAAAAAAAAAAAAAAAAACAGAGGAGGGAAGCCAGCGGGCTTGGGCTTGCCATTGTAGGCCTTGCCTGCTGCTCAACTGGAAAAAAAAAAAAAAAGAAAAACCTGTAACTTTCGATGAGCATGAGGTCCTCGGAAGTTCATCGAAAAATCGAAAGTCAAATTTCAGATCCTTAGAAATTGAATTTCAGCATCATTTTTTTCCCTCAAACACCTCTAAATGACCGGAATAAAGCCAATAAACATATCTAAAATCTTAAAAATCATTTTAATACACACAAAAATAAAAAAATACAAAACCAAATCGGATTTTTTTTTCTTTTTTGACTTCGATCTACCTCATCTAATTATTTAATGGCTTGAAACCACCACGGACAAACTCATCTCTCAAAGATAAAAAAATCTAATGGATTTTTGCCTACCAAAGTGCCTTAAATAAGCTTGGCCGACGATCCTTCTCTCTTCCTTTCAGCCTTCTCTCTCCACATAGGGATCAAAATGGATGGGAAAATAAATATGTAGATCGAAATATACGTTCGAAAATATCAAGGACCAAAATATAAAAAAAAATCATGAATAATGAAACACATAGTGAAATATGAATCTGTACAAGGTGTTTTAAATAGTGATTATACAGTAAATCAACTTTTTACTTTAGTTTTTTAGTAAATTTTTGCTATTAAATCCTTAAAATCGAATTCGTATCTGCTGCCACGATTAACTAACTTTTATTTACTATTATGCCCTCGTCAGCTGTGGATCCTGTAAAGCCGGCAAATTGTTGTGAATTTGAGATGATGGAAATAGGATGCTTAATATGAGCCGCTACACGTGCAGTTTCAAGGAAGGAAAAGTGTGCCTTTACGCGTCCTCATCTTTCCTTCTCGAAGAATATAGAGATAAATAGATAAGGACAGTTTACCCTCAACGAGGAAGGAAAAGGCAAATAACAGCATCTAAGTCTGTTAGTTTCATAGTATTTAAATACAAACACGCCATATCCGCAGATTTCATTAATTTATCTCAGAACAAATAATAATTATAAATAAGATAAGTAAGTAATTTTTTATTTTTATTTAAAAAAAACAAGGATTCTGTTCCAAAGTAATCCAGTCCGACTAATTATATATATATATATATATATATGTCATAAATAACTGTTGCTTTTTTCGAAAAAGAAAACGCGTAGGATATTATTCTTATTCCTAAAGAATCTATAAAGGCAAAACCCACTCGTGGACCTTCCATTAAATTCTCCACATAAAACGGTGATCAACCCTCAAGAATTTTCCTGTCACTTTCCTTCGAACCAAACACCATCCTTTATATACATATATAGCTCCTCAGCCCTCTCTCTCTCATAGAAAACCCGAAAGCAAACAGATCTTTCAACAAATTTAATTTTCTCTCCGTCTCTCTTTCTTGATCAAAACACTCATCATGGAGTGCAGGCCATTAGAGATCACGGTTACCTCAGCCAAAGATCTCAAAGATGTCAATGTTTTTGGCAAGATGGATGTCTATTGTATTGTTTCCATCAAAGGAGATCCATATAAATCTAAGCAGAAACAGCAAACCCACGTTCATAAAGATTCTGGGCCTAACCCTCTTTGGAATTTCCCTATGAAATTCACCATTGATGAAGCTGCTTCTCAACAAAATCGCTTAAAGATCAAGTTTAAGCTTAGAGCTGAGCGGATGATGGGTGATAAAGATGTCGGTGTCGTCGTCGTGCCTGTCAAGGAATTACTGGATGCAAAAGATAGAAAAGGTCTCTTGAGTTACGCTGTCAAGACCCCAGCTGGGAAGATGAAAGGAACGTTGAATTTCTCGTTTAGTCTCGGCGAGAAATTCAATGCTCCTGCGTCGGCGAAGGCGAAAAAGATGGAGGAGCACGTTGCTGCTTACCCTGCAATGGGATATCATGCTGCTGAGAAAAAGAAGGGTGAGCCTGTCACTGCCTACCCGGCGATGGGATATCAGGCTGCTCCATATCCAGGTTCAAGTTCCGCTTACGCAGCGCCACCGCCTTACGCGGCAGGGGATAAGCATCAGGCTCCCTATCCGTATCCTTATCAGTATCAGTATCCTCCACAACCACCCCAACATGGTTATGGTGGGTACCCACCTGCACCCGGACATGGGTATCCGAGTTACCCACCACAAGCCGGGTATGGTGGGTATCCACCTGTGATGCAGCCGCAGAAGCCTAAGAAGAGTGGTAAAGGAAACATGGCTTTGGGATTGGGAGCTGGATTGCTTGGTGGACTGCTGGTTGGTGATATGATTTCTGATGTTGGGGAGATGGCTGCTTATGATGATGGCTTTGATGGTGGATTTGATTTTTAGGTTATTTATTTATTTTGCTTTGTTTTTTATTTTATTTTAATAGGTTTTAATATGTAATTAACCAAGGGTTTGAGTGACTATTTTATATGAATCATTAAGCTTTTCTCTTGTACTAATATCTTAACCATTGCTTAATTGTGATTAATTACATTTATGTCTGTTAATTAAGATGTCCCTTTTGGAGGAAAAAAACAAATAAGGTGTCAACTAACATGAATGATTTGGTGGAGGTATCGTGCTGCTAATTTGTGATTTTAGATGTAGGCACATAACTAAATTATCATTTAAACTCTAGGTGCTGGCAAATTTGAAATCCAATAACTGTTGGAGGGAGTTATTCTTTGTCCTTGAACATCTTTTTTCAATAGGGATTTTTTTTCCCCTCTATTTATTTATTTATTTTTATTTTTTTTGAAATTTTTTATTTTAAATCATTCATAATTGGTAACATTGTTAAGTTAAAAAAATCTAGAGTAACATGTGACATTGTAAGATAAGGAATCTCTAAAAATAAAAATGGTTTGTTGGTTATTTATTGTCCAAAAAAAATAAAAAAATCTTGAAGGGTACATGTGATGTGTTAATTATTAATTGACGAAAAATCTCAATTAAGTAGGAAAAAAAAAAAAAAACAAGAGTAAAGGAGTTTCAATCAAAATAATTTAAAGAATATATTATGATGATTTTTTTTTTTTTGCAAGACATTGGTTGATTATTTATTTATTTATTTTAATACAAATTGAACCCTTTCAAATTGGACTACAAGTCATTGGACGCATATGAGTAAACTTTACTTCTTCTTCTTCTTCTTTTGTAATGTTTTGATTTATGATGAGAGAAATTCGAACTCTTGAGTGATTTACATAACTATTCCGGTCCCATAAGCCAGAAGATCACTCCTAAGTTCTAATGATATAATACTATTTATGTGTTGAGTAATTAATGCTAATTTCATGAATACTCTACTGGACTATCATATATTTCTTAGTCCAAATTTTCTTGGTTTCGAGAAGAATATTTATATCAGCATTATTTTTCTTTCTTTAATTTCTCTTTAACAAAAATCCACTCATGTTCCGATTTTTCTTTTAATTAGGATTCAATGCTTGGTTAATCCTCTAATTAGCAAGGTTAATTTGAAGATTACACCAAAGATGCATGCCACCTTCTTAGCTGCTTCTTTTAGTTTTAGACTAATGCAGTGTGATTAGAACTCTCATAGAGTTCAATTCCTTTTTTCAACCCACGATCAATATGAGATCGAAGTTTCCTTCGTAACTCTCGAAACTTCTTCATAGCGTTTTCGTTCCATGTCTCATTTCATAAGGAACCTTAAATAGCTATATTTCATCCATATCTCAATTATATTTATTTAATATTGCCTTTTTTTTTGACATAATTGACATAAGAGATGTCGTTTGTAGTCTATATGTTTCTATTTCTATTTCTATATATATGAAAAGTTTCAAAATCATTATATAATAATTCAGAAATTACATTGCCTATCTATTATAAGTAGAAAAAACAGAAGAAGAAGTTGTTTTCACAGATCCAATCACTAGAGACTAGAGAGGTCTGGCCTGTGCCACCAATGAACAAGTTGACAATTGAAATTAACTCCCAATATAATTTTCATGGTTAGTGTGCTTGGAATATATTTCATAATTAAGACGCTTCCTTTTGAGAAAACAGGGCAAGCATACCTGGTTTTGTAAATGGCAACCAGGCATGGTTGTGTGGAAGTATGCTTGATTTTTATTATTTATTTATTTATTTATTTTTTTTTTTAAGGAGGTACAGAAGGATATCACCATATACGATTCCAGTCCTGTTTATCCATCGTTGAATGGGTGATTACAAATTTGAATTCAAAATATTGTTGAATAAAATTATTCTTGGGAATCCTTTTTCCAATACACCAAGTGGGTCATTGAATTCCTTTTTTTAACACAAATTCAACTCTTTTCAATTGACCTTGCATGAATCATTGGTCACTGCGATTCAAGTTGAGTGGAATATGATACCAAAAGGAACATAATGGGTGGGCATGCGAAGGCATTTCTCTTCGGAATATGGCCTTCTCTAATTTGTCATTTTGACCCGTTGAGTAGTAGTGCCTTCCTTTGTCACGTAAAGCTAATCTTAGGATTATTCTGAAATTTTTCAAAAGAATATTGGATAAAATTTGGACTATTATTCTTTTCTTTTTCTTTTTGTCGTCTTTGAAAAATATTCATTAATTTTATGCATTGAAGCTCTTTAGGTTTGCAACCATTCATAATGCCTTTACAAGGAAATTTAAGTCCCCAATCCATCGAGAAACAGACTTGTGTGTTTTTTAAGCATGGGTGCAACCTTAAGAAAGCATAGGTTAAACGGATAACTTTAACTAATTTAAAATTAAGTTTTTAAACTTTAAATTTGATTTTTGAAACTCCTAAACTTTTAATTTTTTGAGATTTAGTCTATCTTTCAGTTTTTTTATTATTTATATCAAAAAGTAACGATCACATAAATAATTCAACAATAAAAATTATTTAGTAAGATTTATATGAGACTCTTCAAAAAATTTGAAACCATTATGTTTTATATTCTATTTTTCCAATTTTTTATAACTTTAATGTTCAAAAAATTAAAAAATATATAGTTTTTGATTTTAAAAAATCATGAGATTTTTTTAAAAATAAATTGAATTTTTTTCAACATGCGTGCAAAACTTCAACTCATAATATTAAGAATTGAATTTTTTAGATGGAAGGATGATAGCTAAAAATCACTAAATTGATAAAATTTCAAAAAAAAAAAATTAAAATTTAGATATTTAAAAAACCAAATTTAAAATTTAAATATTCAATTTCAAACGTGCGAAAGTTCATAAAAAAATTGACCTAGTTACGCAACCCTCCACGCAGACTAAGTATTGCAGTAAAAGGATTTGTTCGATACACTAACTACAAATTAATTCTTGGTGTGGTTAAGATCCAAACCCTCGGATTTCACATTAATTAAGTTGCCAAGAAAACACATGACTTAGAAGGAAAATTATATTGACATAAATTTGGCAGTTTTAGTTTTTTTTTTTTTAATATATATATATACACACCCTGCAAGCTTTGTACGATTTAGATTCAACTTCATTTTTACAATGTTCGAGCAAAAATAGGGTTAATAGTTGTAGAAGTACCTCTACTGTTTTATTATTATTATTATCTTTATCATATTTTTTTATTTTTTTCGTCTTAAATTTATATTTTTACGTTTTATCTTTATCTTAATTTCATCTCTCTATTGACTTTTTGACTAACGATGTTAAATTTTTTTTAAAAAATCTCATCCATCTATTATATTTTTCTGTTTTAATCTTATTTTTTTAATGAATTTAAATAAATAAAATTTGAAATAAAAAAATGAAAAAAATGCAGATATGTCTGATCAGTCACTCTACAAATGGAAACAAAAAGGTAAAGCTAATTTTTTTTTATCCAAAATATCATTTATGCATTAAAATTTATGTATATGATAGTAAATAAATTTTAAACATAAAATAAAATATCTATAGTATTATTTTTCTTTTAAATGGATAGAGTTTTAGTTCAATTTTTAAACTTTTGAATAGTATTTATAATTTTATAATATCTTAAAAGAGTCCATTATAATTTACTCATTTTGATTTACAAATTTCTTATTGGTATTTAAAATTTTATAATACCTCAAAAGAGTCTATTATAATTTACTTATTTTGATTTTAGAACTTTTTTAATTTAACTAAAACTCTCTTCACACACACACACACACACACACACATATATACTTTAAATAAAAATATTTTATTTTATACTTAAAATTTATTTACTATCATTCAAATAAATTTAAATCCATAAAGAATATTGTATATGCTTGATATTTTAATTAATTAATTTAGTTAATTTTTATTCTGTATTAATTCATGTTATTTTTTCTTTTTTGATTTTGATATGGGTCCAAATCGTATGACAAACAAACCTAACTCAAAGCAACGCTTTAAATCGCAAGGATATACATTAGTATTCTTGCAGGACCAATGTCCATGCCTCGTCATTAGGATGCATTAAGGAGATTGGCTTGATGGATTCGAAATAGGATCCGTTAAAGAAAAGCTCAATTGTTAATTCCTTTAGCCTTTGTTATCAAGTTGAAGTAGTTTATTTGAAAAAACATAAATCTTTCAAGCCATATTTGAGCATCCACTATTCGATGATGTGACATGATCTTAGTGGTCAAAGATTATATTCTTTCACTATAAATACTAGTCTCACATCATTTTTTAGGGATAAGAACTATCAAAATCAGAACTTTTATACCAAATAATTTTTAACTTCATATTTTTCGATATCTAGCAAAAAAAAAAAAAAAAAACCTTGAACTCTCCCTCTAAAAGCTCTCTCACTCATACACCGGACAACACCTAAAGCTCCACTTGTCAATCACACGACTTACACTTTACTAGCATTGCCTACTTCTCCTCCTAACCCTATTATTATTTGTATCCTTTTTACTTGATGGATAGATTTTTACTTATACTAATTACAATACTATCTCTTTATATCTTGATTGGCCTCGTCGATTAGTCGTCCGATTAGTTCTCATGAACCTTCTCCACAAATATATTTTTTTAAAAAAAATTTAGCTTCACCTTTTTATTTTTATTTTTTAAAGAAAATGACAGGATATATTTTCATCTTTTTCAGTTTTTTTAAAATTAATTTATTTAAATTTGGTAATAAAAAATTAAGATAGAAATTAAAAATAAACTAAAAATATGAGATTAAGACAAAAAAAAAAAGTTAATAGCATTAGTTCAAAAATTAACGGAAAGAAATTAAGGCATAAACCAACCGTAGAGGGAAAACTTAAGACAAAAAAAAATAATCGAGGTATACGACAAGACAAAAGAAAAAATAGATGGATCTCTGCAACTATTAAACCAACAAAATTATAGTAAAAATATATGTAATACCGCTCGAATCCTTTCAATTATTTCCAATTCTAAAAAAATATAATTTTTATCTGAATCTTATCATGTGATTACGTATGGGACTTATTGAGAGATAATATTAAAGCGAATTGATGATAAAAAAAATTATCTAATACAACTCGACTCGATTCAATTATGATCCAATTCTTAGAAAACAAATATTATTTGTTTTTTTTTCTTTTGTGTGTAATTATGTAAAATATTTTGAGGCAATATCCAAATTCAATAGCTTGGATCAGATTGTAGAATTGATTCGTTATTCTAATTTCAATTATGGAAGGAAAAAAACAAAAAAAAGGAGGACATGCCTGCGTAATTGTGACAATCTCCTGATATGGGATCCTGAAGTTGCATATATTACATGTAGATATAACTTGTTTTGAGAGCTCCAACGAAAATCCTTATTATTATTATTTTTTTTCATGTTTGGCCAATTATTATGATAATTAATTTAATTCACATTCATACAAATTGGTCTTAAAAATGTTAGTATACTATGTCCAATAATAGAATCGCGAATGCTACAATTTTTTGGAACATACTTGTGAAAGAAATAAAAAAATAGTAGTGAAAACGAGAGTTTCAGATTAAGAATCAGCATGAATTACAACGATTTCGTAATTCTCCAATTATTCACAATATAAAGGTAAATGAGTAGAATTACTGATCGAAAACTCTTTTGGTATCCAAGAGTAGCTTGAACTCAAATCGACCTCGACCTCGATAGTTATGCTATTGATGCCTATATATTACAATTTTGTAACCTAAATCATGCTTAGCCCACCTTGTGAGATTCACTGATGCACATGAGCCAAATAGCCTTCACCTTGTGCTTTGTATAGACTATGATCCCAGGAGAAAATTATAGGCTATGATCCAAGGAGAGATAATAAATCCATTTATTTATTTAACTCAAAGAAGATAAATGAAAAAATAAAGATGGGCGATATTGTTTTTTTTTATGTTTTATTTTTCTTTTGATGGTAAAAAAGATGGACAATTAATGTCCATTACATCTTCTGTTGCATCCTCAATGTATAGAAATCAACTCATAATTTTTCACAAAAATATCTCTTAATGAACATGAAAACAAACCGTTTAATTATTGATACAGGAATCATTTATGGGTTGGAGCCAACGAAAGGCAGTTCACTAGAACTTGGTCCTTTTATTCTCTCTTAAATTTTGATTTGGTCCTTGTAAAATTCAGTTGTCTGCAATCGTATCCTTTTTCTATGTAATTTTAGTTCCTATAAATTATAATTTTATCAATTAAGTCCTCATAAGGTGTAATTTAGTTTGAATTTTTCGATTGATTCAATTATGCCTCTAATTGTCTCAATTATACTTTCATTTGATTCAATTGTACCCCTAGATGCAATTAATAAAATTTTTGTATTTATATATATATTTCCTTTTTTTCATTTTTTTTTACTTTTTTTTTTTTTTTGGTAAATTCTGACAACAAAGTACAAAGAAAAATAAAAAATAAAAAAAGATATACTAAGAAAAAAATAAATGGGCGAAATTTTTAGATTATGACAATTATGATAATTAATTTAATTAACATTCAATTCATACTAATTGGTCTTAAAAATGTTAGCATGTCCAATACTACAACCGCAAATGCTACAATTTTTTAGAACATACTTGTTGACATAAATAGCTAGTAGTGAAAATGAGGGTTTTAGACTAAGAATCAGCATGAACAAAAACAATTTTGTTTTTAAAGAAAATTCTCCAAGTATTCACAATGTAAATAGAAATGACTCAAATTATGTATCGAAAACGCTTTGGGCATCCAAGAATCGTGAACATGCCTGGACCTCCACCTCGACAGTTATGCTATGAAACTATTAATGCTTATATTACAATTTTCTAACCTAAATAATGCTAGCCCACCTCGACACTGATGCACATGAGCCAAATAGCCTTCACCTTGTACGATGTATAGACTATGATCCCAGGAGAAGATAATAACTGTATTTATTTATTTAACTCAAAGAACATAAATGAAAAAAATGAAGATGGACATTGTCCATGACATCTTCTGTTGCATCCTCAATAGAAATCAACTCGTGGTTTTTCACTGAAAGCTTTGTTAATTAACATGAAAACAAACAGTTTAATTGTTGATACAAATAATAAATTGAGGATTTTAGTGCGAGAAATGGAGAAATTTTCACGAGAATTGCTTGGAGATAGATAAGGTAAGAATTTCAACTTCAACAATTAAAGTATCATTCATAACATAGCCCTTCGAGGCTTCATAGAGATCTCCCAGTGGCATGAACTTGGCATAACCACGTGCATGATGGGAGGAGGTCAACCAAAATGAGACTGCATAAATAAATAAATAAATAAATAAAATTATGAGCAATTTTAGTTAGTACGAACTCAAATAACAAAAACTGGCAAAGAAGGAAAATAATACATGCCTACATGTTCACCAAGCATCTGTAGGGTAATATTAAATTTCTCAGTTGTTTTGGATCTTTTTGTCCATTCAGTGGGTAAAGCTGTTGATTTTGATAAAGAATGGGCTTTTTTCATTGTATTTTGGATTACTTTTTGGATATCTTGTGCTAACAACATTTTTTTTTAATGCTTATTCAATAAAAGTGTCCACAACAATTTTTTATATATATTTCAGACATTTAAATAAAATAATAGTAAACAAAAGATAATCAATACCTCATATGTTTTTTAAAAAATTAAATTACAATTAATTTTATATTATCTAAAAGACTTATAAAATATTTTTTTTATTTGTTTAGCGATAAAATTATCTGAAAAACCATATGAATTGAAACCAGGAGATAAGCTTACTTTTTGTTCTCTTTCTTATATGCAAACATTGAGTAATATTAATTTGAGAATAACAAAGATTAGATATTGGTTTTGTCTCTTTGGCGTAAAAATCAATGTAAGGAATAATTGAATTGAAGAAGTGAAGAAAAAATTGAATGCAACTATAAAAAAAATACAGAGGTTGGTTTCAACATTGATAATTTTTTACATAATTTTAACATTAAATAAATAAATAATATATTTTAGTTTTTTAAATAATAAGAGATTGGTTGTAATTTAAAAACTTTGTAAGAAAATGGAAGATCAATAATCTTCTGATTGTTATGATTTTGCTTAGGCGTTGGAGATATAAAATATTTTAACGTGGACACTTTTTTTAAATAAGTATTTAAAAGAGTGTTAAAAAAAATATTGCTATCACTTTGGGTTGGAATTGGCATGCATCTTATGTTTTGTTTCTAGGATCTTTGTTAGTTGTGATGGTGTTCTTGCAGGGGTATGATGTTGCATCCAAGCACTTGTTATCGGTGCTGCCTTGTTTTTCTGATACATATTTTATTTTGCTTTCTTTGTATCTCTTAGACTCTTTGATAATAAAATTTGGATCCTATTCATAAATAATAATAATAATAATGCCATATGCATCTATCTGTGGGCTTTGATAAAGTGCAATAGAAAGCTGATGGTGGAGGTTAATTTACCTGATTTTTCGACATGTTGGTCACGACACTGGTTCAAAACTCGCAGAATGTATTCTGTCCACAAAGTTTTCTTTGGTGGAAGTTTATCGCCATCAACTAGTTCCAGGTATATAGATAGTGAATCTCCCTTTACTTCATCAGTTCCTTTGGGATAGACTCTTATTCTCCTGAAACAATTGGAACAGCTAAAATTAACAACAGAATTCAAGAAAGGTTCTGAAATAGAAAAGTACGTGATTATAAGGCAGCTAGCATACCAACTTCTCTCTCCAGCAATAAAGGCTTTAGAGTAGTAAACGCTCTTATCTAATTTAGAGAAACCTTCAATCTTCCATCTTAAAGAACCATTAGCAGGTTTTTTAACTATAGAAAGTGATTCCCATTTTCCTGTTGGCTTGATAACAAAAACCTCAGCTCCAAAAACACAGTAGTCAGAGACAAGATACCCATTAGAGGTGTCATTGAATGTTTCAAGGGAAACCAATTTATCGAAACCCCATTCTGTCTTCATCTCGTGAAAGCGTTTTCCATCAGAATCTACAAATAAACAGTGGTTCTCAATTTAAATTCATGATTATAAGGACAAAGAAGAAAAAAAACATCTACCTTATTAGGTTAGCCCAGAAAATAATAGATTTAGTTTTCGTTCATACGAAAACAGATTTGAGAATATTTCACTATATGTGAATATCAGGAAAAACATACATTTGCATTGTTGTAGACATAATAATACAATCTACCTTGGACGGTCAAGTACTGGTTATTTATCTGATCAAAAACAAATAATTTGAATTCGGCGTTGACTTCCCACCGGTAAGGAAGATCACTTGTATTTTCAATTTCCAAGTACAGGGAAATGAAGCCTTTTCCGTTTCCTTTTGTGTTTCCATTCGGGTAGAGACACAACCTCCTGGGAACAAGAAAAACTATCACTTGATGAAGAGCCTAATTACTATTTTTTAACTGAACATTTATTTTGCACATACAGAATCAGGTATTAGTCAAAGGAAGGTGGTGAGAATTAACAAACCATTTGTAGCCTCCGGCTTCAAAAATATTAGATTCATACTTTTCAACCTTTGTCTTCAGCAGTGAAGAAAATGACTCTATCTTAAGTGAGTAATGCATCGGAGGAAGATCTCTTTTGGATCTTGTGGTTCCTGGAAAACAAAAGGAAATATTAATATGCTTGGCTTGGCCATCATTATATTACATCAGTTTGCCAGATTCATTCAGTGCTAACTGATTTTATGCAAATCATATATATACACATATACAAATATATGGATAAATAAATTAATATGTTATATAATATTTAAAATCTATTGTTTGTTTCTAGATTTTTTATTTCATTTTATTTGTTTTTAATTTTTTTAAATATTCAATTTATACTTTTGATCAAATGTTCTGATTAGCTATGAACAAAATTTTTGATCGAAATACCTTTTAAAATGCAAAAAAAAAAAATTAAATTAAATTACAAATTGAATAAGAAGTATTTTGTTTTTTTTTTAAAAAAAAGATTGAAATAACAAATTGAATATTTCAAAAATTTCAAAGACAAATTGATCTATTTATCTCAATTATATTTGTGTGTATATATTTTGAAAGCAGAAAATTCAGCTATAATTAACGAGAAACCAGCAAAAGAATTAGTAATTGTAGGATTAACTTCGTAGATCATGTTATACAAGAGTGAAAAAGCATTATACAGGTCTATAAGAACAGAAACGGAAAAAGAAAAGAAAAAAGAGCTCTAAAATATGAATAAAAAGCATACCAAGTCCGCCGGAGCTCATAGAGTTGCAGATATTATTGTTCTTCATTGCAGAATACGTAACGTGACTCATAACCAAGTCATCAATTAGATAGACAGAGAGCCTGAACCTAAAGCTGAGCAAACCAGATTGGTGATGGCATTACCTGAGCAGGTTTACTTGTATAAAAAATTGACAGATCTAGACATCAGATTCATAAAATGATCAACCTGCAACACTTAAAAATTAAAGAAAGACCAGAACTTAATCATGATTAATCAACAATTCATTTTAAAGTCAACTTGCAACAGGACGCTGAGAGAGAATAAAATTAATGAATCTGAAACCTTGACATGACACTGACAAATAAATAAAAATGGTTTCACACAGCAGATGAACTATAATGGATTAAAGAACGACCGAGAAGAGTTAGATAAAGAATTTTGTTGGATCAAGGTGACATGTTCTGTATTTGATTAATTGTATTTAAATTTATGTATATGATAGTAGATAAGTTTTAAGTATAAAATAAAATATCTATAGTATTATTATTATTTTTCTAATGAAGAGAGTTTTAGCTTAATTTTTAAACTTTTGAATAGTATTTATAATTTTATAACATCTTAAAAGAGTCTATTATAATTTACTCATTTTGATTTTACAAATTTCGTAATGGTATTTAAAATTTTATAATACCTCAAAAAGGTCTACTATAATTTACTTATTTTGATTTTAGAACTTTTTTTAATTTAACTAAAACTCTCTTCACATTATATATATATATATATATATATATATATATATATACTTTAAATAAAAATATTTTTATTTTATACTTAAAATTTGTTTACTATCATTCAAATAAATTTAAATCCATAAAGAATATTGTATATGCTTGATATTTTAATTAATTAATTTAGTTAATTTTTATTCTGTATTAATTCATTTTTTTTTTTTTTTTTTTTGACATGGGTCCAAATTACATGACAAATAGATTGAACGAAGAATGAACCTAACTCAACATGAGATTTTAAATCACAAGGATAGACAAGAGTATTCTAATAGGACGAGTGTCCATGCCTTGTCATTGTCAAAAGCGTCTACAATAATTTATTTATTTTGATTTTATAACTTTTTTAATTTAACTAAAACTCTCTTCACATTAAAAAAATACTTTAAATAAAAATATTTTATTTTATACTTCAAATTTGTTTACTATCATACAAATAAATTTAAATCCATAAAGAATATTGTATATGCTTGTATTTTAATTAATTAATTTAGCTAAGTTTTATTCCGTATTAATTCACGTTATTTTTTTTTATTTTGACATGGGTCCAAATTATATGATAAATGGATTGAACTAAGAATGAATCTAACTCAACAGGAGAATCACAAAGATAGAGACAAGTATTCTAGTAGGACAGTGTCCATGCCTTGTCATTGGAATGTATTAGAGAGATTGACTTGATGGGCTCGGAGTAGAGTCCATTGAAAGAAGGCTTAATTGTTACTTCCTTTAGCTTTTGTTAACAAGTTGAAACAGTTTAGTCCATAGAACATAAATCTTTCAAGCCAAATTTGACCATCTAATCTTGGATGACATGGCATGATCCTAACGAGTCAAAGATCATATTTTTTCACCATAAATACTAGTTCACATCATTGTGAGAGATCAAAACTTTTGCATTAAGAACTTTGGACTTAAGATTTTTGATCTCTAGCAAAAAGAAAACCTTGAACTCTCCCTCTCAAACCTCTCTTACTCACGTATCGGAAAACACTTAAAGCTCTACCCGTTTGGACTCGTACTACCCATCTCGTCAATCACATGACTTGTGTCATGCTAGTAGTGCCAGACTTCTCCTCTCTAACCTATCATTATTTGCATAATTTTTGTTTGGTTGGTAAATTGTTATTTTTTCGAGGTTACAATACTAGCTCTTTATATCTTGATTAGCTTGTCAATTAATCCTCCGATAAGTTCTCAAGATCCTTCTTTACATATATTTTTCATAAAAAATATTTTAGCTTAACCTTTTCATTTTTCATTTTTAAAGAAAATAATCGAATATATCTTCACCTTTTTTAAAATTTATTTATTTAAAATTGGTAATAAAAAAAAGATTAAGATAGAAATTAAAAATGTAATAGAAATATGAGATTAAGACAAAAAAAAAAAAAAGGTTAACATGGTTAGTTCAAAAATTAACAAAGAGAAATTAAGGCATAAACCCACCGAAGAGGGAAAACATAAGACAAAAAAGAATTGAGGTATACGATAAAGACAAAAAAAGAAAAAAATGGATCTCTGCAACTATTAAACCAGCAAAATTATAGTAAAAATATATGTAATACTTCTCGAATCGTTTCAATTAATTCCAATTTAAAAAACTATATAATTTTTTATTTGAATCTTATCATGTGATTACGTATGGAACGTATTGAGAGATAACATTAGAGTGAATTGATGATAAAAAATTTATCAAATGCAACTCGACTGGATTCGATTATGTTTCAATTCTTAGAAAATAAATACTATTTGTTTTTTTTTTTGGTGTAATTATGTAAAATATTTTGAGGCAATATCCAAAATCAATAGCTTGGATCAGATTGTAGAATTGATTCGTTATTCTAATTTCAGTTGTGGAAGAAAAGAAGGAGGAGGAGGACATGCCTACGTAATTGTGACAATCTCCTTATATATATGGAGTCCTCAAGTTGAATATACTACATGTAGATGTAATTTTTTTGAGAGCTCCAACAAAAATCCTTATTTTTCTTCATGTTTGGCCAATTATTATGATAACTAATTTAATTCACATTCATACAAATAGGTCTTAAAAATGTTAGCATACTATGTCCAATGCTACAACCGCAAATGCTACAATTTTTTGGAACATACTTGTTAAAGCTACAAATGAAGAAATAGTAGTGAAAACAAGAGTTTCAGACTAAGAATTAGCACGAATGATAACGATTTCGTTTTCAAAGAAAATTCTCCAAATATTCACAATATAAATGTAAATGAGTCAAATTATTTATCGAAAACTCTTTTGGCATCCAAGAGTCCTGAACTCGCATCGATCTCGACCTCGATAGTTATGCTATGAAGCTGCCTATATTACTATTTTCTAACTGATGCACTTGAGCCAAATAGCCTTCACATCGTACTGTGCATAGACTATGATCCCAGGAGAAGATTATAGGCTATGATCCCAGGAGAGATAATAAATGCATTTATTTATTTAACTCAAAGAAGATAAATGAAAAAATAAAGATGGGAAATATTGTTTTTTGTGTTTTATTTTTCTTTTGATGGTAAAAAAGATGGACAATTAATGTCCATTACATCTTCTGTTGCATCCTCAATAGAAATCAACTCATAATTTGTCACAAAAAGCTCTCTTAATTAACATGAAAACAAACCGTTTAATTACTGATACAGATAATAAATTGAGGATTTTAGTATGAGAAATGGAGAAATTTTCAAGAGAATTGCTTGGAAACGGACAAGCTAAGAATTTCAGCTTCAACAATTAAAGTGTCATTCATAACAAAGCCCTTCGAGACTTGATAGAGATCTCCCAGTGGCATGAACTTGGCGTAACCACGTACATGAACGGAGGAGGTCAACCAAAGTGAGACTGCAATATATATATATATATATATATATATATATATATATATATATATGAGAATTTTTGGTTAATAAGAACTCAAATAACAAAAACTGGCAAAGAAAGAAAATAATATGTTCCTACATGTTCACCAAGCAGCCATAGAGATCACAATTGTAGGTACGAGTAATGCTAATTTTTCAAATACTTTTCGAGAAAAGATTTCCAAAAATATCTTAAGAAATTGTTTCATTTGGCATTTTCAATATCATACGTACTGTGTCGATGCTATTTCCTGTGAATTGATCTGTTGCTTTGAGAACTTTTTGTCCATCCAGTGGGTGACGCTGTTGATTTTGGTGAAGAATGGACCTTTTTCATTGTGTTTTGGATTACTTTCTGGGTATCTTTGTATTGGGTTGGCATTGGCATGCATCTTAAGTTTTTTGTTTCTAGGATCTTGGTTAGTTGTGAGGGTGTTCTTGCAGGGGTATGATGTTGCATTAGAGCACTTGTTGGCGGTGCTGCCTTATTTCTCTGGTACATGTTTTAGCTTAGAATATAAACTAGTTTTTTTATCCATGTTTTGCCACATAATAGACGAAATACATAAAATTATTTTTTAAAAATTATTTTAATTTAATATCTCGTATTATATTATGCATCTACTAAAATATATCAAATCAAAATTGAATAAAAATTCATTCAATTTTATAATTTTTTAATCAAAATTTTGTATTTGACCAATTTTTTTATATTTTTTATAATTTTTTTATTAAAAAACATTATTTATTTATCTTTATTCATATTTTCAAGTAATACAATTATAATAATGTACGAAAAATGTCAAAATCAATGTATTCTTATCTAAAAACTTGTTTTGTAAATTGTTTTTTCTAAACATTTTTTGCCTTAAAATTTTAATTAAAAAAAACCAGAGGAAAAAATATCCAAGGACCAAAGTGACTAAAATGAAACAAAAAGAGGGACCAAAATAAAACAAAAAAATTTACTTACCAAAAAAACAAGGTTTAAAAAAGAAGAACTAAAGTGTAATATTACGAAAACTTTCATAATAAATGAATTTAAAAAGTTTAAAAATTATAAAAATATCACTGCATAGTAAAAGAAATAATGCACATAATCTTGGTAGATAGTGCAAATGAGTCTAGGTCATGTCTAAAATAGTGTCATTGAATGGTAAACAATCATTTTATTTTAATTTTTTTTTGTTAATATAGTCCTATGTACTTATATATACTTGAAGTCTTTCATATGTTTTTAAATTTTTAATTGCATTCTATTTGTTCTTGAAAGTATTTAAAATATTCAATTGTCTTTTTGATAAAAATTTTTTCATCCAAATAAATTTTTTCAACCAAAAAAAAAAAAAAAAATCCTAAAGTCTTTAAAAATAAAACATGTAAATCATTTTACTTTAAGTGTTTTTTTTCATATTTTAGTAAAAGATATTTCAATAAAAAAAATTATGGTCAAAACATTTAATTAGAATGACAGATTAAATAATTCAAAAATTTTCAAAAACAGGATAAATGCAATTAAAAATCTAAAGCCAGATAGAAGACTTTGATTATTATATAAATGCGTATGAATATATTTATTTATTTTTTTTTAGTATCTCTAAAACACATTAATAATAAAATTTGATTCATTAAAAAAAAAAAAAACGCATCTAGATGTGGGTTTTGATAAAGTGTAATAGGAATGTAATGGTGGAGGTTAATTTACCTGTTTTTTCGACATGTTTGTCACGACACTGGTCCAAAACTCGCAGCTTGTATTCTGTCCACAAAGTTTTCTTTGGTGGAAGCTTATCGCCATCAACTAGTTCCAGGTACATAGATAGTGAATTTCCCTTTACTTCAGCAGTTCCTTTGGGATAAACTTTTATTCTCCTGAAACAATTGGAACAGCTAAAATTAACAACAGAATTCAAGAAAGGTTCTGAAATAGAAAAGTCTGTGATTATAAGGCAGCTAGCATACCAACTTCTCTCTCCAGCAGTGAAGGTCTTGGAGAAATAAAAGCTCTTATCTAATTTAGAGAAACCTTCAATCTTCCATCTTAAAGAACCATTAGCAGGTTTATGAACTATAGAAAGTGATTCCCATTTTCCTGTTGGCTTGATAACAAAAATCTCAGCTCCAAAAAAACAGCAGTCAGAGACAAGATATCCATTAGAGGAATCATTGAATGTTTCAAGGGAAACCAATTTATCGAAACCCCATTCTGTCTTCATCTCCTGAAAGCTTTTTCCATCAGAATCTACAAATTAAACAGCGGTTCTCAATTTAAATTCATGATTATAAGGTCAAAGAAAAAAAAAACATCTACATTATTAGGTTAGCCCAGAAAATAATAGATTTAGTTTTCGTTCATACGAAAACAGATTTGAGAATATTTCACTATATGTGAATATCAGGAAAAAACATGCATTTGCATTGTTGTAGACATAGTAATATAATCTACCTTGGACAGTCAAGTACTGGTTCTTTATCTGATCAAACACAAATAATTTGAATTCGGCGTTGACTTCCCACCGAGGAGGAAGATCACTTGTATGTTCAATTTCCAAGTACAGGGAAATAAAGCCTTTTCCGTTTCCTTTTGTGTTTCCATTTGGGTAGAGACACAATCTCCTGGGAACAAGAAAAATTATCACTTGATGAAGGGCCTAATTGCCACTATTTTTTAACTGAACATTTATTTTGCACATACCATTTGTAGCCTCCGGCTTCAAAAATATTAGATTCATACTTTTCAACCTTTGTCTTCAGCAGTGAAGAGAACGATTCTATCTTAAGTGAGTAATGCATTGGAGGAAGATGTCTTTTGGATCTTATGGTTCCTGGAAAACAAAAGGAAATATTAATATGCTTGGCTTGGCCATCATTATATTACATTAGTTTGCCAGATTCATTCGGTGCTAACTGATTTTATGCAAATCATATATCTACATATATACAAATATATGGATAAATAAATTAATATGTCATATAATATTTAAAATCTATCATTTGTTACTGTATTTCTAATTACATTCCATTTGTTATTTAAAAAAAAAAAATTCAATCTATACTTATACAATGGACAAAATTTTTAACTGAAATACCCTTTAAAAAGCCAAAAAAAAAAAAAACACTTAAAGTCATAAACATGCATGTTTTATTTTTTTAATCTTCAAAATTTTATTTTATCTTTTATTTTTGCATTTCAATAAAAAGTATTTTGATTAAAAAAATTATAATCAAAAAAATTAATTGAAATTACAGATTGAATATTTTAAAAAATTTTAAACACAGATTGATCTATTTATCTCAAATATATTTGTGTGTATATATTTTGAAGGCTGAAAATTCAGCTATAATTAACGAGAAACCAGCAACATGTCAGAATTACTTGTATTTATTCAGCAACAGAATTAATAATTGTAGGATTAACTCTGTAGATCATGTTATACAAGAGTGAAAAAGCATTATAAAAGACTAAGAACGGAAAGGAAAAAAGAAAAGAAAAAAATAGCTCTAAAATACGAATAAAAAGCATACCAAGTCCGCTGGAGCTCATGGTGTTGCAGGTATTATTGTTCGCCGTTGCAGAATACGTAACGTGACCCGTAACCAAGTGATCAATTAGATAGACAGAGAGCCTGAACCTAGAGCTGAGCAAACCAAATTGGAGATGGCGTTACCTGAACATGTTTACTTGTATAAGAAATTGTCAGATCTAGACATCAGACTTATAAAATGATCAACTTGCAAAACTTAACAATTAAAGAAAGACATTTTGAAGTCAACATGAGACAAGTTCAAATGGCACGGGCCAATGAGAGAGAGAAAATGAATGACATTGAAAAATAAATAAAAATGGTTTCACACACCAGATGAACTATAACGGATTAAAGAAAGACCGAGAAGAGTTAGATAAAAAAATTTGTTGGATGAAGGGGACATGTGAAGAAAATTGTACTCACATAAATTCCACACTATGGTTGTTGGATATTTAGCTATAAATAGGTTACAAAGAAATACAATAGTTAAGGTTTAAATATTTAAAAGAAGTACTAGTGTATCTATATTCTGTTTGAATAGAATCCTACTTTATCTATACTATGTTTGAATAGAGTCTTAACTCAATTTATTATCTTATCACCCTCCCTCAAGTTGAGCCAAGAAACATTGAATGGTCAACTTGTCACGAAGAAATTGGAAATGTTGGCGGGATAGAGTTTGAGTCAAGTAATCCGCAATTTGATCCTTTGTGAAAATATAGTGAACAATTAGATCTCTTGTACCAATACGTTCACAAACAAAGTGAAAATCAATCTTTAAGTGTCCGGCCTAAGAATGAAACACCGGATTACGAGTGAGGTATGTAGCATTTAGATTATCACGCCACAAGATAAGAGCGAGTAGAAGATGCCATATGTAATTCATGAAGGAGAGACTACGACCATAGAACCTCAAAAGCGATCGCGAGATAAGGCTCTATATTCTATTTCGGTTTATGATTTGGACAATGTGCGTTGTTTGTGAGAACACGAAGACACTAGATTATCGCCAAGAAATATGGTATATCCAATTGTGGATTTTTTATCATTAATGCTTACGACCTAATCAACATCATTATAAGCAAATATATGTAGATAAGGCAAAGGTCGGATCAATAAACCATGAGAACAAAAGGCTTTTAGGTAACGAAAGATCCGTTGGATCGCTCGTCAATGATCGAGTGGTAAGAAGGTACATAAATTAAGCAACTTTGTTTATAGCATAAGACACATCGGGACGTGTCAAGGTTAAATACCGAAGACTTTCCACAATACTACGATACGACGAAAGGGTCGGAAAATGGCTAACCCACAAACATAGTAAGACAATGTTTAGGATAGACAAGAGTAGTAATTGGATTGCTTTCATTCATGTAACGGTGAAATAGAATAACATCAATGTATTTGGATTGAGCAAAAGAAAACCCTCGGTAATCCGGTAGCTTCAATATCGGGAAAATAATACAAGCCGTTAGGATCTTTTAGAGGAAAAAGACATTGAAGAGCGATAACGATAAAAGATTATAAGGATGAATACCTTAGTTAGCACTATATCGTCCACATAAACTAAACAAGTAGGCATGAGTGTCACCATTCGATAAAAAAATAAGGAGTTTGCCTTATAACTCACAAAGCCAAGTGTGGATAAAGCATTAGAGAGGCGAGTACAACCAAGATTTAGGAGCTTGTTTGAGACTATAAAGACTTTTCTTGAGCCTAGAAACATGATGTGGTTTGGATGGGTCAATAAACCCACGAGGTCGAGTCATGAAAATCTATTCATCAAGAGTACCATGAAGAAAAGCATTAAAAACATCTAATTGCTTGATATCCTAAAGTTTGAAAGCAATAAGGGATGAGATAAGTCCGATGGTACCGGTTTTGACAACGAGAAAAAAGGTTTCGGTGTAATTTAGACCGAATGTCGGTGAAAACCTTTAGCCACAAGATGGGTTTTGTAGTGCTCAATACTAGCACCGGGCTTTGTTTTTGTATGAAGCACTCACTTACAAGCCATTATATTTTATGAAGAATCAACTGGTACCAAAACCCATGTATCATTGAGCATTAAGACATTAATTTCCTCCACCATGGCCTTTCTCTAGTGATCATTTTTAACGACTTGAGAGTAGGATTGGGGATCCAAAATCGAGGTAGTCGAATTTATAAATGCTTTAGGTTTTAAGCACCTAGTTTGAGACCTTGTGACCATGGAATGAAGTTTACTATGGGGTTGAATAATGGATTGAGCTAAAGAAGAGTGCAATACGGCAACGGACGTGAGTTTAGACATACGAGTCGGGCAAGGCCTAGTGAGAATTGAATGACATAGGCTGACGGGGACTACATGACATAGGTTATAGATCGTGCTTGAGTAGTTCGTTGGTAGTAAAGTAGAAGGCTAGGACTCGAATGGCATAAGTCGACGGGGAAAAATGGCATAAGTCGTGGACTATGGTTGAGTAGCTGCTAGTAGTATAGCGAGAAAGTCTGGGACTAAATGGCATGAGTCGTGGATCATACTCGGAGTAGCTACTGGAAGTAAAGCAAATGATTGTTGTATCATAGGTCATGAGAGGAGAAGCTCGTGAAATCTAGACATTGGAAATTGGCTCAATCGATTGGGCTATGTAGAACAATTGAGTTGTGGTCTAGACAGTAGGTAGAGGAATGACAAGCACATAGGGTGGTATGGAAGGCCCTAGTTAGCCACTTGGAGGCTAGACCAAAGAAAAGCCATTTTTAGAAAATGAAATGACCGATGGTCTATAATTATGAGACTATTGGGCTAGAAACGAGAGAAGAGGAATGGCCCGTTGAAGGTTGGGCTATTTGTGAATGGACATTATCGGTAGTGGGCATAGAAGAATGAAAGCTCATAGGTAGACTTATGAGAAGTACAAAGGATTAGGTAGTAAATTGGATCGTAAAAGATTTAGTAAAAGGGAGCCCATACGTAGCTCAAGAAAAGAAAACTCTTGGTCAAAAAATTTGACATGCCGTGAGATATAAATCCTTTAAGTGGTAATATCCAAGGAAAAATAACCCCTATGAATTTTTCTATAATCTAGAAAAACATATCTTCTTAATTGAGGGGCTAATTTATTAACGACTTAGTGGCCTTAACCAAGGGTAGTAAGCACAATCAAAAACTTTAAAAAAATCATAATTAATGGAGTGCTTAAATAAGACTACCTATGGTGCTTGATTAGATAAAACAGGAGTCAAAAGCCATTAATAATGTAAACGAGTTGCATCAAAAGCATATGTTCGGTATTTCAAAAAAAGTTGAGCATGATTTTAGTAAAGCTAAACCAGTTTCAACCACATGATGATGCTTGCGTTCAAGCACACTCATTCTATTCGAAAGTTTATGGGCGAGCACTTCTCCGTGTGATACCATTATTGATAAGATATTTTGTGACAGCTTGATACTTACCACCCCAATCAGCCTAAAGGCATTTAATTGAACATCCAAAATAATTTTTCATAAAATGTTAAAATTTAATAAAAGTACCGAGGACCTTAGATTTAAATTTAATAAAAAAATATCCAAGTGTACTTGCTGAAATGATCAAAAAATGTTACATAATACTTAGCACCTATAACGAGAGATAACAGGAGAGGGACCCCACACATCCGAACAAATTAATTCAAAAGGAGATTGTGCATGAAATTTTGAAGCAGTAAAGGGTAGTCTATTTCTCCAATCGATACTGCATGCATGATAGAGGAACAAAATCCATAGGTGAAATTGAATAATTATTTCTTCTAATTACTTGATGGACGATCCTAACGGAGGTATGACCCAAACGTGTTTGCCAAGACAATAGAAAGACAAAGATGACATGAGCAAAAATAGAATAGAAGGTAACACTCGGTGGTTCGATTGGATGGCATAACGTATAACCCCGTTCATTTGGTCGAGAATGAAGAACTTTCTTCGTGTGGATATCTTTAATGGAAAAATAATACGTAAAATTCAATGAAAATGGCATTAGCATTAGTAAAGGAAATCATAAACAATAGATTCTAATAAGTAGTATGAACATATAAAACATTCTTTAGATCAAAAATATTTTTATGGGCAATAATAGAAGATCGCCTAATATGAGAGATCGAAAGTGTTTTACCATTACCACTAGTGAATTCTTATGGCTCGATGTATTTAGATGAAAAGTCGGGTTTACCATGTTTGTTGTAAGATGATGTATGGCTCCCGAATCAACAATCCAAGGCAAAAAAGCTAACGATCCAATAGCGACA